GAAGCCTTCTTTCAGTAACTTTCAAAACTTTTCATTCAGAAACGTTCTGGTTATTAATTTTCTGAAAAAACTTTCACTTAACTGACATTTCATCATGTTACAATTTTCTCTTCTTTACATTTATTCACTCAATATCTAATTGGAAGAAGAATTAGAAGAATTTGTACCAGTGCCTTTTTTTTAACAAATATTTCTGGGTAGTAGGTACCGGAATATAAACTGATTCATTTGTCATCGATTCTGGCATAGTTACTCCTAGAATCAATTTCTGAACTATCTGGATTATCTTACAAAATCAACAAGCAAACCTATGTGCGGAAATGACAATAAATCATTCAGTCTTGCCAAAGGTTTTTTAAATTTTCTGAAATTTGAGATCTCATCACTTGCTGACCCTATTTCAACACTTCGGGTGTTCCCCGAAGTGTGCCCCGTTAGGTCCTGTCCAAGGAATAAATCGGTAAAAGAAATATTGATGCAGAAAAATAAATTTAAGTTAAATGCAGTAACCTGCATGTTCAACCTACACCTGAAGTAAATAACAACTACTCCATCTATTGTTGTTAACAATATTCACTGTTAATTTCAAGACTATATTTCACTAAAATGCACAATCTCCCAAACTTGTAATTTAAATTTGTTCACAACTTCAAAACTATTTTCACCCCTTATATGGATAATATTCTCAACAAAGTATGCATATTTAAAAAGTGATCAATAGGTGAATGAAATCCACAATATTTGGGAGCACATATCAGAAAAGATATTTGTACATGTTTTCTTTTGATCTAGTTTGGAAATATGGGAACTAAATTATGCACTGTTTTTTGTTCATGTGTATTTTGATTTTCACACTATGCCAATTTTATTTGGTTTCCAACGATTAATTCACCAGATAATGTTCGAGTATGAATGCAGCATGAATTATTGTATTTTAATACAGTTTGGTAACTTGATAATTTCATTGCTTATAGATAATTACTTGGGTGAGCTCAAGTTTGGGGAAAAATCTACTTTATAGATCCTTCCCAATCCCAATCCTTCCTTACAACAGAGTAACTTAATAATTCACTCATTAATTTCCAATATCCATTCAGTAAGTAATCTCCTGACAAAATAAAACTTGATGATTCATGATATTTTCGGTAGTCTGACTAAATGTTTTCTCGAGACAAAATCGATGAACAAACAAAAACAGGACAATGAAGTTCGAGGAATTATTCATTCGCAGGTATGAGACATTTCTATTTCTTTCTATAGGAACTTTTGGACACTAAACAGAGGAGGAAGGCAGAGACAGACTGCTTAGGTCGCTGACCGGATGAAGCAGAAAACCGTAAATCTAGCGACCACATTCAAGGTCCTTTTTACTTACCAAAGAATGTGGAAGATGTATGAACAATGAAGAATACCTTTATATGTCTACATTAGATGTTTGTCCTCAGAATACTGATAAAACACAAAAACAATCAATCACAAATTTGTAGTTCTGATATTGGATGCCCAAAGTATAACTACACGTTAAAAAGTATTAAACAAAGCTCTTACCAATCGAGAAACATTTCACAAAGAAAGTATTGTAATCCAGGAATATACAATTATGTTTAAACAAACAGTTTTTTACGAAAATGTTGCCAAGAAATCTGTAAAAATTCGCATAGTACCAAAGTTCAGTCTTAATTTAATCACGTTTAACGCATCTTCTCAAGTATATAAAGGGAGATATATCTTGAATGGAAAATACGAGCTTCACTAAAAACATGACGCATAATAGATGAATCTCCATTCAACTCGAACTTCGATAATAATTGAACAATTAGGAATAAAACTGTAGTGAAATGAGAATTCTGACTTACCACTTAATTTGGAATGAATATAAAGTTAAAGAAAAAACTTAACACTAGATCACTTAGCGAGTTACTGAAATGCAATGCAAATTTCACTTACTAGCTGTTGTTTGTAAGGGCACTGACAGCACAGAGCGAGTGTATGTGGAGTGTGAACAATTGGATTTGACCGTCGGAAGTGGTGTACGGTATTGATCGTTGAGTAACTTAATTGTCAATTTCATTATATTTTGCATCAGTATCTGTCATAGGTATCAAAAATATTCTGAAGGAAAGAAAATACTGCAATTCAATATTATCAAAATAGTGATAATTTCAAATCAATAAGTATATTAACGACTCACTTTTGCAAAACCTGAACATAAATGACGACATCCGCCCGCCAAATTCAATTTGCTGTCAATGTCAAAAAATCCTTTGATGGTCTCTGGGTTTCAATTCTGTGTTTGGGCCACATTTTCTGAACTATTGGGAATTTTTTATGCATTTATCACATCCTGCATATCAAGTGAAACGCATTTATGAGAAATTATGTGTAAATATGCGACATGCTTCCTGTTTCAAATTGCCAAATTGCATTTCATGTAAAGCTCTTAGTTTATGATAATGCAAGATAAGATAATGCAAATAAGTGAGGTGAGGAATATTATTTTTTGCATTGAAGAAAACGTAAACTAAGATACAATACGATGGAGCTGCACAAGTTGCCAACCTCATAAAATTCAAGTTGGCTATTTACTTTCTTTATATGACATTTTTCACCCCGTTACTTCGACTGGATATTGAAAATATTATTTTCAAATATGAACAACATGTACTTCAACAACATATGACAGCTGCCACGAATGACAATTACACAGAGTAGACAACTCAGAAAAAGTATATGTGCTGCAGAGAAAATTCTCATTGAAATGGATTATAATGAATACAATGGAGCAAACAACAACTATAATAACTCGGTGAAATGTAGAGAAATATATGTACTTCAAATACATTTCATTGAACGTTGTGAAATTTAAAGTCCTTCTAATATATTCACAGAAATTATACGTATTCCATTTGAATATCAGTCATAAAACGCCTATAACTGTTGTATGTAGTATCATGTATTTCGTGCTCCATGTTCCATGTGTTTTGACAGTAAAATGTAAATTGTCATCTTCTTGAAGGAGATTCGATTCCATTCCTTTCCATTACCTGACCAATACATGTACATGTAGATGAAATCATATTGACCTGAAAATAGTCGATTGACTGTTATTCAGTCAGTTTCAGACACTCATATTTGACATGCCATATAAAATAGACGTAAATTGACCATTATTGTGATTGAAAAACTCTAAATTTCACATCGTTGAATTAAGTGAATGCAAATGTGTTGTTACTACGTTACAATACTCAACAATGCCAACCCAATGCGTCCATTATTTGCAGTCTTCTTCTTTATATTATCTGCCAAATATCAGTATAGCCACCGTACATAGTGTTTACTTCTATACTGTGGTATAGCCCTTAGACTTGTCTATAGCCAATCATAAAACGCCAGAAATATATTCGATCAGTTTTATGTGAATGTTATCAATTGTTAACCTCAATTTTGAAAAACTGACAGATAATTTTACTTACGAAATAATTTCTGAACGGTTTCTTGGCCTCATCGGAAGTGTGAGTTGATAGATGATGTCCCGTGAAACTATGTTTCAGCATACTTCAGCAAAATTAAATTAGTGGTGTTTTTTCGTCACTTATATCAAATGAATGTCTACTGATAATGCCAATTTGGCTAGCGAAAATCTTACGAATGCATTGGAGCAGTTGGATCTTGGCTCCTGTGGTACGGAAGAGGAGAAATCTCTAGATCCCTTTTCATATTGTGATTTGAAAATTTTGTAATTTTTTCTAAATTTTCATATTTGATGTTTCTATTGTTTCAATTTTCTATTTAGTTTTCTTCATATTTAGTGGAAGCACAAAATATCGGAACTAGTAGTTCTGATATTCTGTGGTTGAAGTAACGTTGTGAATATTTGAAATGACAACGGACACAGTAGCCAACAAGCCAACTAAAAAAGACGCATAGAAATCCTAGTGTTTACCGATTCACTTTTGTTTTGTCAATAACTCTCGAAGTGATAAATTAGATTGACTCAACTTTGTAAATATGTTGATAGATGGTGCAAGAATCGAAATCTGTCGTGCGTATTTTGTTCAGATATTTAATTCATAGGTCGCGAGTTTTTGAGAAAATATTTTATATGAAGAAGGGGTCCAAGTTGATTACACCAGGAATATTCTGATTATTCTATGCAACTCAATACATATGCTCCATTTGATTTTATTTTCTTATATGGTTCATTTTAGTTCTTATTCAGTTCATTATCTACTCAGACAAAAGAGGTCTTTACTAGAAAACAGAAACACGAAATGTTTCAGGGAAGCCGAGAAAAAGGATATGAAACAGGAAATAATCTAATATACATCTAATTACGCTATCAAAGGTTAACAACACCTACATTTCTGTGATAATTCAAGGTTCATGGAATCCACTACTGATGAATGAGAATAAATTTGAGCTTCTATGTCTTCCATTCGTAATATGAGTTCGTAATTTTATGAATCGATTGAGTGCTTTATTGTGTAGTATTGTCCAGATTGGTGCTGAAGAGACAATAAGACAAGTGTCTTATTCCGAAACATCGATGTCCATCACTGAGGATGATCTACACATCTTTCTAAAGAGTTCATTCAGAAAGCAATTGCTTTTTTTCTTTCATTGGAAAATTCCCATATTTTTTGTAAAAATGAAGAAGCAGAAAGCCAAAATCTTTCTTTCCCAAAAATCAATCAAAAATTCAAACAAAAATATTATTTGACGGGATATTTTCTAACATAATGAATTCATATTTTTTCCCATTGTATTTTTCTGCTATCACATATACACTTTTTGCTTCACTTATATCGATGGAATTACGATAATGACAATATGAAAATATTTGATTGTTTTAAATTTCACAGATAGGTAACCGCCTTCCAGGCTGGTTTCACTTCACTTTGGAACAAATGTGAAATTTATAACTTCATATACCTACAAAAAATACTTACCTCTAAAACGAAGTGGGCCATTGAAACACCCAGTAATGATCACATAGAACATCTTGTTTTCAAAAAATTTATTGGAGAATATATATTTTCATTAGGTTTAGTGAAATTTGTGTATGGGGTGAAATATTTTGGTTATTTCTGAAAGAGAAACGTGTGAATACTGATTCGAGTGAATAATTTTGCAAAATTTTGAGTTAGCAGAAGTGCAAGATTACTTGTATATTAATATTGAATTACTTTATTAAAATGCTAAAACTACAGTAGGACTCTAATGATCTACTAGTATTTGGACAATCAAACTGAACTTTGATAAAACACAGTCTTATTAAAATATCCGAAAATGTTTCAAATAACTGACAAAAATGAATTCATTGTACCTAATTCAAGATTTCAAACATCATCTTATCACTGTAAATAAGAAAAGTAGGACCAGAGTATGATGAAAATAGTAGGTATATACCTACTCACATATATACAAAATTACTGCATAAACATGTCCTCCCGCATAGTCTTCGCACATTGTTTGCAAAGTGAACTTACTGTGCAAACAATGTGCAAAAATGTGCATGAAATGTGCATCCAAAAAGTGATCGGGGTAAGTAGCGATAGTGATGGTTGAAGTACAGAAAATTGGACTCCTACTTTACATGCAAAAGTGATTATGAATATAAAAAATATATATCTAATTACAATTTAAATAATAGAGAACGCCATTTTGTTATAATACTTAATTACGACTTAATTACGTATATTTATATTACCTAATATGTATTTTGCAACAGAGGTGTTATAAAAACCATTAACAGAAAAAACCCATAGTGCATTATTGAATCAGATAAAACTGGAAAATATGAAAAATCTGTTATTCACTCCTTTAGATACCTGTTGGCCTGACTATCTCAGAAAAATAAAATATACAACTGATGGAATAGTACGATTTTGACATTTTGCAAAAATTTAGGATAATAAGCAACTTGGGATCTTCAAAGGAAACTTCGAAATTCAAATAGTTCTTGTTGCAAATAATAATTTGGACTGTTTGTCTGAGAAGTATGCCAACCAAAATAATAATATCGTAAAAGTGTTACCATATCTAATACTAATACACTGTTGTTTCTTTTGCTGTGCTCGTAACGTTGCTGTTATTATCGTCTTCATCTGAGTTGTACTCTTCGGCAGCAGTTAATTTTCTAGCAGCAGCTTCCTGAGCTTGTCTTGAAGAGAAAAAAATATTCAACAGAAAATCTCTAATGAACAATCAGAGAATGATAAGCTTGATTTTTTTTAACCAGAATAATGGAATAGAGGACAAAATTCACAAAACTGTTGTGGATTTGGAAAAAAAACATTGCTTGATTTATACGAAAGTTCAGAAGAAAATCAAAAGTTTCGCCAATTCTATTAAAAAAAAGCTTATTCCTTGAGCAATTCAACCGATATGGTAAAAAGTGTTGGAAAAGCTAATTGAGGCAAATTCTCACTCCTCAGAATTTTTTTCTAATTAGTCAGTGGGCTATGCTTGAACACTGGCAGTCAACAAATCCAAAGCAAATCTTTAAGCGTTCAAGCCAGTCTCTATATACCTACACAGTAGGTTTAATGGACTGACGCCTATCAGAAAACAACTACTCCCCTGGCTAATACCACAAAGGGCGTTGGATTATATCCGACAGGCGTCAGTGCAGGAACCTTCACAGAAAATTTCCTGCTTATGCAATTGGCAATACAACTGAAAGAGTCGACCTTCAATTATGGAACGAACACACTTGCAGACCGGTTTCGGGCTTATTAGCCACTCATCAGTGTAAGATAGTGACCATCATCGACCTAAAGTCAATGATATTGAAAATCGGAATTCTTTCAGAGTATTTCATTCCTCTTCCAAAGTTGGAGCGAACATCACAAAATGTCACTGCATCTAGTGGACGAGGTACTAACAACTGCATATCCGTAATTTGCCCGATTCCTCTGAATAAGGAAGAAAAACTTTCTTATTAGTCAGTGGGCTATGCTTGAAGACTGGCAGTCAACAAATCTAAAGCAAATGAACTTTAAACGTTCAAGCCAGTCTCTATGCCCGTTCCATAATTGAAGGTCGACTCTTTCAGTTGTATTGCCAATTGCATGTGCAGGAAATTTTCTGTGAAGATTCCTGCACTGACGCCTGTCGGATATAATCCAACGCCCTTCGTGGTATTAGCCAGGGGAGTAATTGTTTTCTGATAGGCGTCAGTCCATTGAACCTACTGTGTAGGTATATAGAGACTGGCTTGAACGTTTGAAGTTCATTTGCTTTAGATTTCCCCAGAATTTGCCTTAAAATCATATATCATAAGACAGAGGTGTTATTTGACGATGAAGTTGGATGAAATTATTCTGATTTTTGCCGATTTCAATGCAAAGAAGTTTGTGATAGGAATAACCAAATGATTGAAATGAATTGACTTTGCATCATAGACAATTCGTTACTGCCATTTTTCAGTGTTATTGCAATTTAATTGCTTTTATACCTAATATAAGTTCTAAAACTAGCACTAAAACATCAATTTGACAGTTCGAATCTATAAGAGGAGTTTTTTGATTGTATTAACTAGTTATTAGATTATATTTTTGGTCTCTCAATTCTCAACTCGATTAACGAATACCTATAATAAACCCTTCATGCCCATGTACAAGGTTCTACCTTCAATGGGGATTCTCCCTCTTTATTTAACAATTAACTTGTATTAATATTAATTCCATTGTGAATTTTGTATATTGATCAAATAAAGTTTATTATTATTATTATTCGATTGAGATACTTGGTCGGCTGTTCTTGTTACCGTTAGCCATTTTTTATTCAAAATCCAAAGAGTATTATAACTTTGTATATTGCTTCATTTCAAAAAAATTTCAATAGTTTTGCTTTTATTAGGATCTCTATTCGAGGTCTTCTTATGTTGGAGTTGTGATTTTTTGACAAATTAGGTAATATTCAGCATTTTTATTTTTGGAATTTTTATTCGAAGAAATTGAATATTGCGAGTAAAGCAAGTACCTATCGTTTGTTATATCGATTCATGAAAAATATAAAAAGCAGATAGAAAATTGTTATTCAAAAACAAAACTTTAGAATTAAGCCCAAGTCAATGAAAAGATAATTGATCAAAGAAAAAAGATTTAATAAAACGAAATCATCAATAACAGTCATGATTTTCTTTAATTTCGATGATAATTTTACCAATTCTGCTGATGAAATTCCATAAATAAATGACATTTTGTAAAATTTCGTTTTTTAACTCCTATAACTAGAACTCAAATATCACTGCGTCTTGCAAGAATTGCAGGTGGCAGACATTTTGGCAAAGTTTTTTCACAGCTTTATGTGAACAAAATAAATATTTGTACATCTTGCCAAATCTAGGAAGCGACTTCAAAGTCTCGGTAGTTCCGATATTCTGTGGTCTCGGCTTTCGACCTCTCCTAAGATGCGTGTGGTAGAAAACCCGTAAAGACGATCGACCATCTTGTAGTGTCCACTTCAGTGAAGTATAGTACGCGACAAAAGTCTGTGCCGAATTGAATTTGAAATTGAATTGAAATTGAAATGAAAAACTTTGTATGGTCAAGCGAGAGAAGTGATTGTTAATGTATTTTTTTTCATGTAACGAGAAGCTGATAATGGCATAATCATGGACCTGAAAAAAGTTCAAGAGCGTTGTACAAAAGCGGCAGGTGTAAGTTTGGGTAGCACTAAAAGAATAGCTCGTGAATTGAAAACAATTGAAAATGGTGAGGCATCCTCTTTTTCAGCGCCTTATGAAAAAAGGCATAAAAAAGCATCAAAATCAGATTTTGATGATTTCGGCAAAGGCCTTCTTTGTCGATATATTATCAATTGTTACATACTGAGAAAAAATGTCCACCTTACGCCGCATACATAAAAAATCGTTGACGAAAATGGTTATAAAAGATCTTATGAGTCTTTGAGGAAAGTAATGAAAGAAATAGGGTTCAGATGGAGAAAAACGGAAAAAATAGGAGATTGCTCTTGGGGAAACCGGCGATTCACCAGTTGCGAAGAAATTTTCTCAGAGACATGAAGAAATAGCGTAAAGAAGGTTGAACAATAATTTATATGGATGAAACATATATCCATGCTTCACATACACATGAGAAGAGTTGGAATGATGATTTGAATGGAGGATTACTTGCACCAATTTCAGAAGGGCAGGGACTTATGAATGCAGGAGGAGAAAATGGATTTGTGAAAAATTCATATGTAAAATTCAAATCCAACACAAAATCGGGCGAGTATATAGCGAAATGAATTACGACAATTACAAAAAGTGGTTGCAAGAAATAATGTTGTTTTTGTTAAATGTTGTTCCGGAAAAATACGTTTTGGTTATACACAATGCCCCATACTACAATGTTCAGTATGTGAAGTGCCCAAACATGTCCTCGACAGATGAGATGATGAGAGAATGGTTAAGACGACGGAACATTCATTTCACGGATGATATGCATGCTGAAAATTGATCTCTTTTCCATTATTGAAATTCATAAACCACGACTCAAGTTGTATGAAATTCACAGGATTATGGAAAATCATGGACATACTGTACTCAGATTACCTCCTTATCATCCAGATTTGAATCCAATATAATCAGTATGGGCATCATTGAAACAATATGTGGCTGATAAAAATGTGGACTTCAATTTTAAATATGTTGAAAGTTTATGTGACGAATTCTTCACTTCGTTTTCTCAAGAGCAGTGGAAAAAACATTGCGAACACGCTAAACGTTTCGAATAGATATATAGATATATTTTATTGATCCTTTATGCTACATATTGTGTACATTGGATAAGTCATAATTGTAGTTAAGTTATATAGAATTTTATGCTTCGAAGGAACTTGCTCTTGATTTCACAATAGACAAAATTATTATAAATATTCAAGCTGATAGTGACAACGATAGTAGCAGTGAGGATAGTGATAACTCTACAAGCGATTCCGATCTGGAGTTGAACCTTTGCAATTTTTTGATCATAACCTTAATTATATTTTTGTTTCGATTCATCCATCTGAATGACTATAAGACATTTTTATTTTGAAATTTCACCCAGATAAATTACATTTCTAGAATAAGTCTTTCTACCTTTCCTTATTGAACCCGAAATTAAAAGCAATACAGACTGCTTGAAAACAAAGTCATTTAAATTCAATAACGTAAATTCCGCATTGTGTACTATATATCTAAACTAATAATTGATCATCAATTCAAACACCATCAACCCTCGTTGCTACTTGCGGCGAGGAGTGTACTCTCAGGCCACTTTAAAACCCAAATAGATTGAATGAAAAATTATTCTGTTCAGAAAAAAATCTTTCCGTGAGCCTGATTGAAATATGGTTGACTGATAAAAGTTGGACTTAATGCGCCTGAAAAGAAGCAAAAGCCAAACACGTTGGGACAGAGAGATAACTGATAAAAGTGATATTTGACAAAAATAGTGTCACGAGAGATTTATAATTTATAATCATTATAAGTTGATCGCGGGATTAGACTTGACATTCTTTTTTTGCATGTAATGCGTCACGAAGTGAAAGTAGATATTGCTGAATTTTGATATAATAACTCCTCTTCAAAGTAAAATATAGTGTCTTAATATACCAATATAACTTATTCTAGACGTTTAGTCTTACCTTTTCTGTTGCTCGTACGCTTGCGTTTGTAAATTTTCTTCGTCTCGTTCTTTCTGTTTCTTCTTGAGGAACATATAAGCCAGATATACAAATAATAAAACTAGTGGAATAATTATTGCGAGAACGGCTCCAGAGGCAATGGCTGATTGGCGCTGAGAATATTCTTGTTGACCTATGAGTTATCAGTCCATGTTAGCATCTTTGTACACTGGTGATTTTGTTTTTTTTACCTTACAAATATTTCAATCTGCATTCATCAGATACTATTTAAATTATCATCCATATCAAAATGTTTATTCTCGGTGTCAAGAAAATATCACAAATATTCAAAGAAATATAATAAAGAAATAATATGTTACATTGATTTGTTATTTTACACGGTTTCTGGAAAACAATTTTTTGGAGTCGCAGATTTGTCTACTCGTCAAAAAAAAAACAGTATTTTCTGAAATTCTTACGTACGTTATTACTTCTCATCTCATCGTATTTACAGTTCTCGAAGACCATGAATTGGTCAATATCCAGATGTTTTAAAAGTTAAAGTTCTGCCTTTCAGACTTATATTCATATTAATAATGAAGAGGTAAAATAATAACATCGAATGGCCATTTCACATGGTAGGGATAAAGATAAACCTTTCAGTTCTCATACCAAATCCATTGAATTCATTACGTCCCTAGCATGTGAAATGCCTTTGTTAATCTGTTAAGATTATTTTTATTTCTAAAAATGTACAATGACAATAAATATTTCACACAACATGAAGTAATGAATTGAAAAACTATCCACATGCTAGAGATAAATTGCAATTGAAAAATGTTCTTGAAATGGAATCACTCCACCTTTTCTGTCAAATCAGCAATCTGAGACAGCGTCGAGGAAAAATCCGAAGCTTCTGTCTTCAGTTTGTGTCTTCCCGATCAACTGTTAAACATCTGTGACAATACTGCTTTGACTACTAAATCGAGTTTTGTCAGGTTTCTTAACTTTAGCGTATTCGTCAGAGCCATAATCCAATGCAGGTTTATTACCTGTCTGTATTATATCGGGGCTTTGATTTTGTGAAAAATCAAACTGACTCGTTGGAGCTTTATAAGGTTCGTTGTAGAGCGAACTATTTGTCGGACTAACAGGAACACTAGGAGTTTTATCAGGCTTTCGTATGTCTTCATATCCAGGAACATAGTTAGGATCCCAAGGCTTATTCTCGAAGTCTACCTCCGGACGACCTTTCAAAGGTTCGTGGGTTCTGTATGACTTGTCATAACTGATCCTCCTTTTTTTTATAGATCCCGAATCATTTTCTGACTTGTCACTGGGATTGGGAACATAGTCGTCATCATCGTCGTCTTCTTCATCTTGGTATGGACTGAGTGCCCGATTGAAGGCTTGCAATTTTTTAGGTTTAGTTGAATCGTTGTCCTCCCATGAGTCGCCTTTGATTTTTTGATACACTTTGTATCCCGCGAAAAGTATCAATAGGATTAATGGTATAAGAACTGCAAGGATTATGGACCAAGTGATCATGGCGGTTCGGGAAGAATATTCTTGTTGACCTAAGTGAAAGAAATAATTAGTTAGTTAGTAACTGTAATGAATAGCAGTTGTTCATTTGGTTTTTCAAAATTATATTGGTATTGGTATTATATTAGTCAATATCTGAAGTCGTAAATGAAAATAAATATTTTGATTTCGGTCATAATCCGTTTTCCAGTCCTATTTATTGTCAATGTGGCTTCTATTAAAAGGCGGGTTGGCTGTCGTTGTTCATCTTTCACTGCCTGAACCACTGGGCATACTGCTTTTGGCGAGTGCATTGGCTTGGGATGTGGAGGTTGAGCAAACCGGCCATCGGATGCCTGCTTCCACATAGCCCCGCTGGATACGGGAATGACAGAAACACTTGTGGTTCTGTTATTCCTTAACTGAATGGCATCCCAACGATGGCTTAATTCTAAGGTGTGTGTATCCGTGCCGAGAGGATGAATGACACTGAGCCTATCAGCTGTCTCTACGAAACCTTCGAGATACCGGGAGCCCTCTCGTCGTAGCATCGCCTTGTCACGGTAATGCAGGGCTCTGCCGTGATTGACCTTCTTTCCCTAGCTACTCGTGGACTTTTATGGAAAGAGTAAACTTAATTCTTTCTGACGCTGAGTCTACAGAGGACATGGGTGTCGAGCTTACGACTCCAACTGACCTCCCTGTAAATTTAGATCAGGAGCGAGAGCTTCTTAAGTTTCCAACTCCTGATCCAATAACTGAACCTAAAAAAAAAAGGTTTGGTGATGCAGCCAGGAAACGCTCCTCAAGAGCGGGGTACCTTATGAAACCGCATTGCATCAGATTCTTGAGTGGCGTACGCAGAATCTGTCTCAGGTGTAAGAACAAACCCCCCCATGAGCAGGTTAGCAAACGTTTGCGCTCAAGTGATGATTCACCAAAACCAGAGGCGAAAAAGCCCTGCACGGTTGAATCTAAAGCATCGTCAGTTGTATCTGACGTGCAAAAACCTTATATCGGAAGCTTTTCGCGGGTATCAAGGTGCACCGACTACCTCATTAACGATGAAACAGCAGATCATTTACTTTGTTCCTGCCCTGCTGGGGACCGAATCAGGTTTTAAGAGTTTGACAGAGCCGTACTCTTATCATCTGACCTGAAAGACCACTCACCATACAAATTAATCGGCTTCGTTAAGAAGCTGAGTTTATTTGATCGAGTGTGAATAGGTGTGAGCCACAATAAACCCTTGCGGCGGAGGGTCGAATAGACCCACTCACTTTGGACCTAACCTAACCTCTTTTAGAAAGCTGACGTCAAATAAAAAACCCCTAATAGTGTATTTACTATGCACTAATATGGATTTAAGTTTTTGGGAAAGAAAGGTTTTTTGGCCTTATATTTTTCCATCTTGATACAAAAATGTGGAAGATTCCAAAATTTTTGTACCAAAATGGAGAAGTAGAAGGCCAAAAAACCTTTCTTTCCAAAAATTTATCACTCCTAAAAATGTAGTCTTTCAATGGTTTTTAGTATTTCTTCCACCCAAGAGGGAGACTCAAGAAATCACTTAAATCAACTATTAATACAAACTTTTCAAGAAAGGTTCAACAATAGTTAATGAACAATGAAGGAAAAACTGTGTATAATTCTGAAGACGGAGGCAGATCAACGCCTTCGAAACGTTAAGATTGTGGAAGGTAAGGATACATAAAGAAGGTCGATAAAAATTGACATACATTTCATCTGAAAAATGGAGTTGTTTTTATAGTACCTATATACGAAATCTAATATAAAAACTAAATAGTTACCGAATGTCGGCAGTTTCTTTGTATGGCATTGGTATAATTTACGGGATCTAATCATTGTTTCATTAGGGAGGTTTCATATGATATTAAAAAGTAAATTTCTCAGACCCGGTACATTAGCCTTACTTAGCTGTTTGGATTGACTTCGTATAGACTATACTTGGTATCATCAAGTTATTCTTCTGTGACGAATTTCTTAGTAGATCTAGGTTTCTCACATCATTTGAAAGATTGACTGGTTCTACGGCTTCTTCGTGATTTAGATCTAGATTTAGCATTTGCTTTATTTCGTCCACTGTTACGGAGGTTCCTCCAACAGGTTTAGAACAGAACTGCTTGAAACTTTGATCTAACAATTTTTATTTGGCAACTTCAGCTTCAAAAGCAATACGCTTTCTTTGGAGTCCAATGTTCTTCTTATCGGTAGTTTCAAGAAATTCCGTGTTGAATGAATTTCGAGAAAATAATTTCGATTTACTCTTCTTCCCGCGAGAGTCATTTTGGGGAATGTGAATCGATGTGAAACTGTCAGCTTTATTTTTTTCATCTTTTGGTTCACATGTTTGATGGAAACAACTACTTTTCTCGGTAATACCACGACTAAGTCGCTTTAGAGGCTTTGTTCACTAGGTGGAACTGTTACTACTCCACTGAAGTTGAAAAAAGTTCTTTCTAAGACGCAGGTTTCGTATATTTGGTGGAGATTCAATAAATTCAGTCGAGTCTCGAACAGCAAACTGTCTTGATTAGATCTATCCTGCACTGATGGAGAGTGATACCTCAAAGCCAATCTGTAGATGATCACTGCAATGTTGACAATGCGGGGAAAGTTCTAAAGATGTTTAATTTTTAATTCCGAATAAAATATTCCGGCATGAAAACATAAAACAGTAGTTATTCCACCAAGGAATCTTATGAACTTAACCCTATCCTAACAAAATTAATTGATGTTCGAACAAATCACCTTTTTTTTAAGATATTTCTCTCAATGTGGATACTTATTATTGATTTGTAGTTACTTTAGGTAACAGAATGACTCAAATTGAGGTGAGATGTCATCGTTTAGGATTGTCCTTCGAAAATAGTTGAGTCCGGCATATCGTGTCTGGTTTCAGCCCTTAAGTCATAGCTCTTCATCTTGTGATGTTTCAAACTCCATGTTTATTCTTATCTTAGTTCTCAATGGAAAATGCTACTATATATATCTATCATGATCGAGAAAATGTTGTAGTAATTCATACATCATAAAATTCCCCACCAATAAAAACTTCCACCTCCTTTGAGGATAGCCCATTGCCACCCCTACCAATACTGTTTTCCTCATAATGTTAACCAATCGTCATTTGGGATTCCTTTACCTGACTGAGTAGGAAAACGAAACTAGTGTGTAGTCTATAAATATTAATATATATAATATCTGTTGGTTATTTTTACTCAAGATATATATTACACGTCCTGTGAGATAATGTGGTATCTGTAAGTTAGTTTGGTAAATTATAGGTTTGAGTCTAATTTCAATTTATTGAAATTGCTTAGTAGATACGCGGCAGATGAAGAAATAATCGTTTTCCTACCTCTAGATTCAGCTGAAATACCAACAGTTTCTGCTCAACTTTTCAAAGATTTGATATCTTGACAGGAAAAAACTATACTGTAGAGTGAACTGTTAACTCATTATTTCAATATAATATTCTTCCACCAGAAACCAATTTCTTTCTTCAAAAATATGAAACTCAATACTTACGTAAACATTCGGTGTAGCCATATTCAGGAGCATTCCATGTGCCATCTGCCAAACATTCTCTTCTGGGATCTCCCACCAATACGAAGTCTTGATTGCACTCGTAAGTGACTTTGGTTCCTGGTATAAAAAGAAAAGTACTCTTCCTACCGAATCGCGGTGTTTCCAGAACTCCGCAAGAAACAACCTTCTGCCTCGTCGTTTCTTTGAGTTGATATATGGTTGCTTTATAATTCTGAGTAAAATGGGCAAGATCTCTGTTGAGCGTCATGGCATAATCGTAGTAGCATTCGTACATTTTTGTGCTACAAATGTCGTAAGTTCTCTGTATCTGTATCGACCTGTTTGCGGGTATTATGTCCTCAGGTAACATAAGGAACTGCGGTTTGAAAGTTTTGTTGTTGTACGTTGCCGATGATCTGCCGAATTCTCTGAAAAATAGGGATCTACCTCTTTTCGGATCTAGTACGTCGTCCACCATCCATTTGGAACCAAAATCGTTGTAGACCCTTTCCATATCATTGATATTACCCACGACGGCAGCCTTCGACTCATCAGGAAGAGTGAAGTCATCTTCCTTATTGAAACTCCAGTTGCCAAAGAGACCAACAGTTTTGTTCTGTAATGAAAATAATGTAAGTACCCTTTGAGACGTGAAGATTCCCACATTTTTTATATCAAGATAGAGAAGCAGAAAGCCAAAACCTTCCTTTTCCAAAAAAATAAAAAAGATTTCCATTCGCCGGACTGAAACCACTATTGATTCATTCATTGACGAATTCACTATTGCATTAGCATTAGAGGAAACGAAAACCGGGCTGGTTGGAGGCGGTCGAATGGAACTTGAAATACCACAAGTTTCGTCGGCTACTGTGGCAGACATCGTCAGTGGTATGTGCGTGGTCTGCGAGGATCAAGGTTATAACCCGAAGTCTCAACAACGACTCGCCGCTGAGCTCTGTGTTCACTTGTATTTATAATTGTAGAAGGTGGTGGGGTTGATGGTGTAGATTGCGGCGGATATGGAGTTGGGCGTGATGGTGGTGGTGACAAAGTTGTCCATGTAAACGCTTACTCCTGATTGGTCCAAACTTTTGCTGGGTTGTTCTGATGGGTCCACGTTGCTGACAGGTACGCTTCTGGTAGGATGTCGATCGGATTGATATTCTAGTTCATTTCTGGTTCTTTCGATCAATGACTATCACGTATACCTTCTTCTTTTCTGTTCAAATTGCTGGGATGCTTATATACCTCAATGGCCTCACTATGAAGTCAGACGTAGCCTGTTTCTTTTAGAACATGTTCTGAGATTGCGAGTTTCTCCGGTTGCAACGGCGGTAACTGCGCTGGTTTTTGTATTATAGTGTTTGTGCTGCGTTTGATAGTTCCGAAGTAAACTGTTCTACATGAGCAGGGAATACTGTGAACAGCTGCGGATGTCAGAGTCTCTCTTTTGTCCTTGGTGATTTGATAGCGTTGATTACCAGCCCTAATTTTGTTTCCTCTAATCGTGATTCCGGCCGTGAAAGCCTATATTCTTATATCACTATTGAATGTAATTTCTTTATCACTCTTCATATAGAGCAAGCTGTGGTGTATGAAACTCACAATATTGAAAATAGAATCAATATGGATCCATTAACCATTCATTTCCCAAGCAACATACAATTCATTCATTGATAGGAAATTTACAAATCAATACTAACAATGAAATAACAAGTAAATATTTCAGACTAGAAAATATGGATATGATTATCAGTATCAGCCCTTTCAGTATTTAGAAAAAATCGAATTATAGCAATCGATAATTCACTGCATCATTAATATTTTTGACAGGTGACTTTTGTTCCTCAATAATTTTGAACTATTGTGTAAAAAGTACACAATCTATGAAGCATATGGTTCAAGTTTGAAGACGCTGCGTTGTTTAGTATTTGTTTGGCAACCATCAATAGAGAGCGTTTTCGGTGAATTTGAAAAAATGAAGAAAATTGGTCATCCTTATATGAGGCAGAGGGGTCGACCATATGAGGTGACAACTTCAGAATCTGTGAAGAAAATCCACGAAGCGGTACCGAATGATCGTCGACTGAAAGTGCGCGAGATAGCAGACTAAGGTGTTTCAGGAAGTGCGGTACATCGTATATTATCTGAAAATTTGGACATGTGGAAGCTGTGTGCAAGATGAGTGCCGCGTTTGCTCACACTTCAGCAGAAACAGTGTCGTGAAGATGTTTCAATTGAGTGTCAAGCGAAGTTCCACAGCAACAAAACAAAAATCTTGCCTAGTTTCATAACCATGGATGAAACATGGGTTCATCACTTCACACCCGAGGCAAAAGAATAATCAAAACAGTGGATTCAAAAAGTAGGACTGGCTTCAAAGAAGGCAAAGACCGTTTCATCTGCAGGCAAAGCCGTAACATCGGTTTTTTGAGATGCGCGTGGCATAAATTTCATTGATTATCTTAAAAAAGGTAAAACTACCAACGACAAGTATTTTGCGAGCTTATAGCGAAGTTCAAGTGGAGAAATCAATAAAAAATGGACACAGTTGGCTAAGAAAAAAAGTGTTGTTTCATCAAGACAATGCACCAGCTCAAAAATTCATTATCGCAATAACCAAAAATTGAATTGTTACCTCATGCACCCTATTCACTAGATTTAGCCTCCTCGGATTATTTCATGATCCCAAACTTGAAAAAATGGCTCAGTGGTCAAAGATTTTCCAACGATGAAGAAGAGCTGTCGGCAGTTAATGGAAGCAAGACAGTTCTTATTATAAAAACAGTATCGAACTTATTGAATGTTGCTGGGAAAAGCGCATAGAGCTGCAAAGAGATTATGTCGAAGAATAAATATGTTTTTGTTTTACTTTTTGTGTATTTTTTTGTTGGGCGAGGTACTTCTGGGACCACCACGAATAGGTTTGTGAGTAGAATCTTGTTTGACTCCAGATCTTTAGTCAGATTTCTGAACACTAATGATATCTTACCTGAGGAATATGACGAGAGAAGATGTTGAAATTTTAGAAAAATTGAAATGAAGAAAAGTACCATATCAATATATGTGAATTACCCGTGGGTTGGGCTACCTATCGGGCGCGACAGAAGTTCTCACCTCAATATAAGGCGGTGGCTGGGGATGAACAGAAATGTCCTCCCCAATCTAACGCTTGGATTGAGGCTGGACATAGGAAGGTCATCTCGTGATATAATACAAAGGCCAAGGCGTGAGCGCATTTGCGGCGCCGAGGCCAAAAGGAGAAAGATAGCGAAGGAGGCAGGAGTGGCAGAAACTATAAGTGCACCCTCCTCCTCCCCCACTCCACTTCCAAGGGCAAGGGCATTTCCTGCGGCAGGTGCCAAGAGCTCCGCTTTAAATAACGGCAAGGAACCGGCTGCAGCTGCAGGAAAGCTCTTTCACTTGTGCACCTCCACGGAGGGAACCCCAAGAAGTTCGAAGAAGCCGCGCAAACGACAGTAATGTCGCTGCACCCTCCAAAACCTTCACGGAGGCCACCGTGAGACACCTCAAGGTTGCCAAAGAGAGTTTGTGTGTTCGGCGAGTCTTGTCCTACACCTGCCAATATAAAGGAAATGTCTCCTAGTGACCTGTCCACCTTCCTAGAAAGGACAGGATGGACGATGACCTAGGAGGACAACTCCTCGGGACGATGTACAATGGGTCACATGTAGCCTAAGTGCTGTGGATGTACACTCACCCTCCCTACTCTACAGATACAGAGATACAGATAAGTGAATTAGGAATAGAGAATTTGCGGAGTCGTTTGAAGTTATTTTATTACTGCGTGCCACATATTTGGAAAAATTAGGCTGAAATCCTTATTTTGTTATGTTATCATTTTCATTATTAATATCTTTGATATTACTTACGATGAATGACCAAGGAAGATACACCCTCGCGGTCATGAATCCCTGGTTATCCATTACTTGAACTCCTGCTCCGTTATCAAACATAATGATGACTTCAGACTGATTGAGGATATAAGTAGGTGTATAAATAGTCACTCCTGAAAATATAACACATTATTTGACATACTCGTTATACATTCGAATTTTTCTCGCCTTGGAAATGTTGGAATTTCAAAGAGGGTCTGTCGAAGAACAACTTCCTATTATCAGCAATGACATCCAGCCTATACCTCCACCTAGCATCCAAGGGCCTCCTTCTGACCTCCACTGCTATGGTGTTGTTTCCCCTTGCCACAATTGAAGTCAGTTGTGTTGCACGTACTTCTCCGTAGGCGTTAGGGTCCATTTGCTCAAATCTGCCTTGCACCTCCAAGTTGTCAGTTTGTGTCACAGATTTCACAAGAGCAAACTCTCCTTTCCCGTTGAAGGTGTACTCGACGTCATCGAAAGTGATGACGTGGGGATCTCCGTAAATCCCAGCAATCCCTGGAGCTTGGTACGCGACACAGTCCTGAGTTGGTCTTCTTTCGAATCTCAGCGTTTCGCAACCCACCGCCTGTTCTTCCTGCCACAAACAGCAAAGATACTTCGGTACCATATCGTTGAACCATTGCGATAAGGTTGGAACTTTTGTTGCTTCGTTGTAGGGCATTTTTCCCAGATTGTGGCAACGCCGTGGACTTGAACCCCACTGCTGATCGTATGATAACATGAGATACCCGTTTTTGTCATAGCAGCACTGCTGTTCTGATCCCTCCAACCTGTAATTATTTTTAGTCATGTTGTTGGTGTTGAATGAAACCAAAAAGAAATTAATACAGTATAGATGAGGTGATGAAAATAAGCATGAACTATATACAAACGAATTTGATACAAACGAAACTGTGATAGCTCTAATTTTTACGGTTTTTTTATTTTTCCTTTTTTTAATGCAATGATAATACGCCGGCGTCTAAATGGTGGTTTTGGAACTGTACCTTGGGGTATGCCATTACCACCATTTGCGAGGTAAAGATATGGCCTGAACTATTCTTCTGACACCAATATTTTCCATATGTTCAAAAGTACATTAGTAAACATGATGCCTCGAGAACTTTATTGCCACGTAAAAATAATTCCAGATATGCTTCATTTGTTCAGTGTTCAATATCGTTGATATTGAAGTATACAATTTGATAAAAGCGAAATTTGTTTTTCAAATTCAAATTTGTTAACTATTCATGCAATTTCTTAGCTCTACTTTAATAGGCAAAATCATTAAATAGAAGTTACTGATAAAGAAAACATTTTTCTTTGTGAAATATACTTTCTTTATGCAGTAATTCAGAATCATGGATAGGTAGATATTATTTATTCATTCAAGGGTGAAATATATAATACCCAAGCGGGTGTAGAACATTGCAATCATATAAATAGCTTATAGATGAAAGAAGATGAAAGGACAGGAGAAAGAACCCAAAATGGGAAATATAATAGCTTATGAACTAAGATTGCACTTAATAATTTCGAATGAGGGGCAGTAAACTGTAATTCATTTCGAACCAATTTTTCAGTATGTTTAGAAAATTTGATATGTTGTTTTTAATATCATTTTCAGTTATTTTGTCGGATATTAAAGAAGTGTCATCCGCAAAGTGGATAATTTTTTGATCAACTATATGAGGCAAGTTGCCGATATATAAAATAAAAATTAGTGGCCCAAGTATAGAGCCTCGTGGAACCTACCTTCTCAGGAAAAAAATACCAAATACATTTCAATGCCTATTCCTATTAGGCATTGAAATGTTTTTGGTGTGTAAGAGTGTAAGAATATCAGTTTCAAGGAAACTCCACATTTTCCGAAATATTCAAGTTTTTTTAAGTATAGTGTGGTCAACCCTATCGAAGGCCTTGGATATATCTATACATACTCCTAAAGTTTCATTTTTATTGTTCATCGCGTTCAATATCACAGTAAGGGCATTGTTAATCACACGTTGAAAGGTAAGACCTCGTTAATCCTTAGCTCACACAAGTTTCGCATTCTGAGGGTTGTCGTTCGTAGAAGTGCGACAGCTGGTTAACGGAAAAACAGATTTTAAACAGAAACAGATATAACGCTAGTATAGTGAATGTATCTCTTCTGAAACCATTTTGAGAATCTGAAATCAGTTTGTGATTTTCAACAAAATTCGAAATTCTTAAACATATTACTTTTTTAAAAACCTTACTGATATTTGATGAAGAGTTATTGATCGATAGTTTTGACAGTTCAATTTGTCTCCTTTTTTATAAATGATGCTGATTGCAACAATCTTCAACTTATTTGGGAAAATGTCTTCGGTCAACATCAGATTTATTATGTATACTATATTTGCAAAATAGTAGGGACTAAATTCTCGACTGACGTTGTTGCCTCAATCTGTCTTTTGCAGTGGCGTACAGAAATTATACTGAACAGATGAGGAAAAATGATGATAAAATATATAGATTCATAACTTTGACGGCAATGTTTTCGTTTTAATGCAATACTATTTCTGAGAATTTAGTGCCTTCTATTATGAAATTGTACTATTGAGAGGCAGGCAAATCTCCTCAGCTACATATTTTAATACTTTCATCGTCTCATCGTCTATAACTGATTTTTTGTTTTTTTAGTGAGGTAATTACATCATATATTTATTTTGGTTCACTTCAACAAAATGATGAGAAGTATCAGAATTTAGTGCCTTCTATTATGAAATTGTACTATTGAGAGGCAGAGAGATCTCCTCACCTACATATTTTAATACTTTCATCGTCTCATCGTCTCCCACTGATTTTTTGTTTTTTTAGTGAGGTAATTACATCATTTATTTATTTAGGGTCACATGATCTCAAAAACAGTGAAATTGGTATGGTTGTATTTCGGGGAGAATTAAAAGGTTTGCCCTTTCTACACCTGCATTAAATTTTCCATTACAATTTTCATATTTTTCAGATTATGGAAGGGGAAAATACCAAAAATGGTCAATATTATTATCGAATATAGGATAAAGAAAACAACTTTTGTCTAATTTCTACTAAGTTTATTATTTGTTACGACCCGTTTATCATTTGTTATAAACCGAAACCGATCGTAACAAATAATAAATTTAGTAGAAATTGGAAAAAGTTTTATTGTTTATCCTATATTTAATATGAATTTCTACAAAATAAATACGTCATCAATCAAACGATATTATTATTGCTATCGACATTCATTCTCAAGTAACTTACGTTGGTGATCCTGTTTTCACACAGTGCAGAGCTTGGTTATTGTAGTAGCATACGGGATTTGAGTCCTTGTCGCAATCAAAGTCGGGCATATACCTCCCTTTGTCTGCCAAAGCCTGTTCTACAGTGCAAGGGCATTGAGGTAACTCATGAGCAAAGTTTTTCAGGTATCTGTCTGTTCTTAGCCAGTCATCGCAGAGTGCTTTGGGCCAGCTTCGTCCATACATATTTTCCCATTGGAACTGAAAGTACCATCCTAGGGGAATGGGTCGACTCCATACAACAGGAACTATTTCCACTGATCGTTGTACAGATGTATAAGTGTTCACCTGTTACAAAGTAACCAGCATTGAAGTTGCAAATTTATAATTAAATGAAATAGGTGAGATAAATTTTCTTTGAGAACGAAAGATATATGTTTTCAAACAAGGTGCTTGGTCCAATTATGTTCTTGATGTAGGTACTTTCTATTTATTTATTATACTCTTACTATAGGTGGTCAATTCAATGACAATAAATTATAACTTTCTCGTTTTGAATATCGTCAGTTAACTAGTATACATAAAAATGCTGAGCAGTAGTAGCAATAATGAATCAACTTGAATTTCATATAGATGGATATCTATCGAATACTTTCACCATCAACACTGGTGTTCCCCAGGGATGCATATTGTCTCCAATCCTCTTTTTATTGTACATCAACGACTTATTGGAAAAAACCAAGAATCTAATATATTGCTTTCCTGACGACAGCACACTTTTGTCGTCATTCCATTTGCATTCCAGGACATCGGCTACGGAGGCACATCTTCACCGGCAGTAGGAGGTTGCATATCTTAATGAGGATCTAGAAGTGATTTCGAATTATGGTGAAAATAACCAGGTTCAATTCAATGCCACAAAAACCCAGGAACCGGTTTCCTCCAAGAAGATAAATTTCTCCGAACCGAATATAAAGGTGTGAGGTCAGACAATTCCGCTTTCTGATTCGATAAGTTTGTTTGGGGTTAAAATGGACACCAATATGTCTTGGCACAATCATGTCGCTGGAATTGCAAAAGAACACTGTTCCGAACCAGAAAACTGTACACACCTCAGCCACTTTTGATGCTTTAAAGCTTAGATCAGACCTTCTTTGGAGTATTGCTCCCATGTATGGAGCTCTGCCTCCAAACACACTCTGAAGTTGCTGGATTCCATCCAGAAAAGAGCCATTCGCCTGATTGGAGACGCGAACATCATGTGCAACCTTGATAGCCTGGAACATCAGAGAAAGGTTGGAGATTTGTATCTCTTCTATAAATACTTTCACGGAAAGTGTTCAAGTGACTTGGCACATTTGATTCCACCAAGAGCTGTACATATCAAAAATACGCGACGGACTGTGGGTGCTCATCGTTTTGAAGTTCAACTCAGTACACTTCAAACTTCACTGTTTACGAGCCCTTTCATTTAGAGAACTATGGTTATGTGGAATAAACTTCCTGAGAATATTTTTCCAAATGGATTTAATCTCCGGCGATTCAAATCCAATGTAAATCGCTACTTTAACACAGGCACCGTTCTCAGACTGGCAAAGGTAATTTAAGACAATCAAGACGCAGGTACCTAACTCTTTGGTATAAATAAGTACAACATTGTATGTTTATTTAGTTTGATATTCGTCCTGAAGATGATCACTTGTTGATCAAAGCACGTGTCGAGGTGTTAAAAATAATTGTTTGGTGTTGGGATATAACTCCAGTTATATTCTTGTCAATGACAAAAAGTGATTATTCTGGCATGGCTGAGGAAGTTGCCAAATTCAGTTGAACAAGTACTTAATAAGCATGGTCGACGGGATGATGAGAAGTATCAGAAATGTAAATACTTTTGCTATTAAGACTTTCACTTCATCAAAATCCTTATTCGAGACATCCATAGTCATAATCAGAGGGATGAGTAATGTGGTATCACATAATCACAGTCATGGCTGAAGAAGTTGCCAAATTCCGTTGAACAAGTACTTAATAAGCATAGCCGACGGGATGATGAGAAGTATCAGAAATGCAAATACTTGTGCTATTAAGACTTTCACTTCAACAAAATCCTTATTCAAGACATCCATAGTCATAATCAGAGGGAGGAGTAATGTGGTATCACATAATCACAGTCATGGCTGAAGAAGTTGCCAAATTCCGTTGAATAAGTACTTAATAAGCATAACCGACGTGATGATGAGAAGTATCAGAAATGCAAATACTTGTGCTATTAAGACTTTCACTTCAACAAAATCGTTATTCAAGACATCCATAGTCATAATCAGAGAAGTAGTAATGTGGTATCACATCATCACAGTCATTCGCACTCCCAGAATATAGTTGTTGGAAGAAACAAAATATAAAAAACCATTGATTGATTTGTCAATAATTGGAAAGATTTAGCTGTCAAAACTTCATGAATACAGTTTTATTGAAGAAGTCATTAGTAGTTATTTGCTAACTATATATAGTCAACGTCTAACTGAAAACTATGAAATATAAACTAAATATGAAATTATTTCTTGGTTAGAAATATATCAACTTTTTCTATCATAAACTTACTTTGATAGATTCAGTCAAGTTAATTTGCAAGAAACCAAATTTGATATCCGTGAGAAACTCATTAACTTTTGTTCTATATTGGGACGGTACGATGGTATACTCTCCAGTATTTTGGAGACTGTCTGCGATATCAGTGATGTAAACGAACGTTGGCCTTATTGTTGTTTCTCTGTAACCCCATAAGGAGATGCGAATGTTAGCGTTTTCGTTAGTGGTCAAGTTGTATTTTTCCCAAGTTATTCTTATTTCACTAGGCGATTTTTCATGAACCTTCATGTCCTTGAAGTAGATTTTTTGAGATGCCGCTGCGGGGGATTCTGAAAATAGAAACAATAATAATCACAACCTCCAGATAAGTTTCCATTCGATAGATCTTACCGACATAATATTTTCCCTTCCATTTGTATACCCCAGCCCCTATGGCTATTTGTAAATTCACCCATCCTTCGGCATACAGTCTAGGTTGGATGCATATAGCCCTGTTTTTATCTATAACGACGCCATTTATTTCATCGGCTACATCAAATTTGCATTTAACTTGGTCGTCTAGGCCGAAACAAGGTCCTGTTATATTCACTATTGTTCCACCCAGCATATTTCCACTTTCTGGAGATATCATTAACGGTAGATTAGCACCATCTGAAAAAAAAAACGAATCATTTTAATGTATAGTTTCGTATGCATGTTCTTAGATTACTTTTTGAATTCGCGATGGAAAAGACTTCATGAACCCGATATAGAGTCTTCTAATAGGGATTCCGAACTTTGACAAATGGTAACGGCCATCTTGTTGAAGTTACATCCCTCAAATCAGTTGTCATTCATTTAATCTGATTTGCCAAATCACCATAAACGGATATAGCATTCAACAACATGTGCAAATAATAAAATTGTTTTGTCCAAATGGGTGTTCTGTTCGGGCAACGTACCGCGCGTTTCGCCCATTTTACAATATCATTACTTTTTGCAATATGGTGGATAAATTTGAGTCCACTAGTTCGGTAAACGATCTACCAACACCCGTACTGGGACAAAACGCAAGATCTGTCAAAATATCGCCAGTGTCTGTGAGAGTGTGCAGAAGAATTAGTCGATTTCGTGACGTTCACAATAAATCGCGCTTTTATAGACCACAACTTGGCGAATTTCGCGTCGTGACTTAGGCTTGACTTGGGTAAATGACCATAGACAACGACGAGTGTTAGCTGAATGGGCTCTGGAACAGTTGACAAAGGACTCTAATTTTCATCGAAAACTCATCTTCATCGATGTAGCCCATTTCTGGAAGAATGGGTACGTGAACAAACAAAATTGTCCAATTTGGGACGATATCAATCGATTTCACGTCGCTCACAATAAATCGATCTTTTGTAGACCACAATTTGGCTTCGTGACTTGGGCCACACTTAGGTAAAAAACCATAGACAACGACGTGTGTTCGCTGAATGGGTTCTGAAGCAGTTGGCAACGGACCCTCATTTCCATCGAAAACTTATCCTTCAGCGATGAAGCCCATTTTTGGATGAATGGGTACGTGAACAAATAAAATTGTCGAATTTGGGACGATACCAATCCACATGAGATTCAAGAGCGTCCAATACACCTCGAAAAAGTAACTGTTTGGTGTAGATTTTGGGCTGGTGTCGTCATCGACCCATATTTATTTGGAAACGACGTTGGCCAGGCTATCACTGAGAGGCTAGAGAGCGCTCAATGGGAGATCTTATGTATACATTGAATATAAACTGTAATGGCTGAAGACAAACTTGATCTGCAAATAATATCTTTCTCTCTAAAAGAGATACTCTTCTTTCGTACTGGTGAAAAAACAGTAGTGTAGTTGGTTATTTTACTCACCTATATCTTTATTGCATGTTCCAGTTAGGATATTTTCGTCGATTCGGAAAATGTGCCTTCCTTTGAAACCATTAGCGAAACCAGTTTGTGTGAGATCTCGAATAACAGATTCTTGACTGTATGGTTTGTATTCAAAACTTCTAGTACCGTTTCCAGCGTTGAATCCCACAAAAGCGGGAACTCCTCCTTCTCCTTTTCTTGTGTCGCCTCCCGCTTCAGTGTGGGTGGTCCAGTCAAGATTCAAGTAGTTGAACATGGCGTAGGTGAAAACTTCATCAGTGGCGAGGATCATTTGGAAAGTGTTAGTCTGGAGAAAATTGTATATATGATTTACTATGAGTTCTATGAAATATGAGTACTGTTAAAAAATGTTTCAGTTGAACCAACCCATGATAGATGCATCCTTGGTTTGGTGGCCTGATACGAACTAAGAAACGATTGTTTCAACAAATCAAGGCAGGATACAAATACTTGCTTGTTTGGAAATGGTGCAATGAGAACCATACAGACACAATATTATGAATGAAGACATTCTTTATTCTATTTCCTTTACATCTTGTAGGAATAGGGGGGCATAGAGAAAACTGAGTCAGACAGGACTATTATTCACCAATCTAAAAAGGATCTGGCAAACAGTAATTTCGGAATGCGTGTACTGTATATTAGCTTATCGATTTTTTAAATTTTCGTATGTTGGCACACTTGTCTCGAACACATATTAACAGTTTCAGCTGTTTTATTTTGTTGGTGGAAGGCATAAAAGTTAGAAGTGTTTTGAGTTTGTGAAAGAATGATTTACAATTAAAAAAACCTACAAAACTATGATATTTACTAGTGAGTTGCTTTGTCAAACAAGACACCTAGTATTACTATGCTTTCGAAACTAACAGCTCTTATCTATTGATTCTGGTAGATTAGAATTGTTTGCAGATTAGTCACTCTTATGATATTTTTATGTTGAAATATTTCTGTAGTTGGTTTCTGTACGACGTTTTCTATTGAAATGGATTTTTTTACAATTTCATGACGAAATAATGATGATACCTGTTTGGGGTTCCTTTATTGCTTCGAAATTCATTGGTTTGTTATTTTTGTCTTAGTCATCTCCTGATGATACTTACTTGAATAACGTAACATGCGTCGAGAGACAACATTTTTGTTCTGGCGTGGAAAAAGTGTTTTCAGTAGACCTAAATCATAATTTTCGATGAAGACGAACTGAAATTATGTGAAACAACATTTGTGACTATCAGAGATTTGAAGAACAGGTCAGTATTATAAAAAAACTGGTTCGGGACGATTAAGCTAAGAGCACCTATAATATTCATTATCGATTCAATGCATTGTGAACTTTACACAATCGATTTTAACCATATGTCGAAGGAAATCAACTGAGACAAGTACACTGCACGCAGATAGAAGGAAGCAAATCTAAGAACAAGCTGGAAGTCACTTCTGAGGCATGCTCACATCTACTTTGGCAGAGAAGGTTATGTTTGGCGTAATCCTGAATGGTCTAGAGTTTTATTTTCTGATATACATCTATATACATACAGTTTTCAAAGAGTATGGAGTAGAAATAGTTAAGATCATGGTGCGAATGAGAGGTTCCTTAATAGTTTGAGAAGGAATTTTGTTAGAAGCTAGCATAAAACTTAGCCTGTTTTCGAGAAATGCCAATATGTACTTTGAAAATAATTTAGCCAAATACGTAGATAGAGCCATTTACACTATTTACTGGGGAACACACAATCGTATGTGAATACTTAAATCGTGTTGAAAAATGAAACATAGTTTGGCCTCCCAAAAACTTTGATTTGAACCCATTGTAACATTTGTGTGATCGACTAGGGCAGGAAATCAGATCTCGTCAGATTGTTCCACTAAATCTTGATGTTCTTATTGAGGAATGAAACAACATGACAAGGGGTGGTAATCCTTAATAATAATCACAATTGCATTCGTTTATGAGACTATTTTGCTGTTATTATGGTTTTGTGAAATAAAAACGCTTAAATAGTTCAAAGTACTTTTCATAAAAATGATTATTTGATACTTCTGAATCTTCTATATTTCGAACCAATTGAGATAGAGACGAAATTCAAAAATCTAACTTTTAAAAGGAGTTTACTAATCAGATTGATAAAAAAACAAAATTCCACTCGAGTACTAGTGGAATCCACAGGGCCCTTCAAAAATAATATAACCGTTTAAGCGAGTTTGATTATCACAGGGAGATTTTGAAGCAACATGAAAACATCTAACTATTATTCATAAAACAGATACACACCAGTGAGATGAGGTACTCACCTGGTAGAGAGCATTGCCAAAACCTCCATTGAAAGAGATATTTTTCCATGTGACGATAATGGCGTGTTTGGGATTGAATGTTTCTGACCCTATCACCCCTTCCCTTATATCCCATTTCAGTCGTTCTCTGATCTCCACTCCCATCCTGTCCTGCCTATTTCTGAGATCCCTTTCCATCCTAAAGTACACTCCAGGGTCTCTTTGATCAATATCTCCGTCCCTCAGGTTACCGATTCTACATTTACTGAAAAAGATACCGATGAAAGAAGGATCGTTCTTTTTAGGCCATTCCTTTACTGGAAAGACCAAAGGATAGTCGTAATTTGGAGGAGGATCGCTGAATTCCAAATAACCGTTCAAGGAGACCCTCGTGTAATTGAATCGAAATCCGAAGAAAGGGAGTTGGAAGTTGAGGTTCTTGTACACTTGCGGAATAGATGATTGAATTTCTTTCTGGTAGTCTCCTTCGTCATCTGCATTACCGCCTCTGTTGTAGTAGGGATACATGAAATTTTGGCGGATCTGTTGCAGTCTGGTTTCCGTCAAGACATATGGTACTCCTGAATATCCTCTCTGATCACTATCCGGTGGAGCAATATGGGAAGTCATAGGATCTAGAATTGAGTAGAAAAAATTGTTTTTACCGGCATTTATATAGAAAGCAATTTAAGCCGTGTTAGCCATTTAAAACAAAAACATGATGAAAGTCAGTGGAAGCTTCGTATTTTGAATCTCATTGGAAAACCCAAAAAGATTATGAATAATTGAGAATTTTTTACAAACTGCTCAACCGATCTTGAACAAAAAGTTCAAATAGCATTAAAAAAAATAAAATTAGGGAATGCTTCCCACATACGAAAACAATAAATAGGAATAGCCGTTGAAGAGGACATACTGAAGTGTACTCGTATAGCAATGAATTCAAAACTAAGTATTTCTCTGCTAAGTGAAAGCCGCATGGACCCTGTATCGTCACCACCTCCCTGTATAGTGTGTTTGTCTGATTAAGTAGAGTTTTTGTTTTCATTTTTTTTGTTTATATTCTTATCGCGAGACGACTGTGGTTTTCTGTCTGCCGCGAGAGGAAGAACATATAGACAAAAAGGTTCGATTCCGGAGAAAGAACCGAAAGTGCTCGAGAAAACTGCAGTTGTACTGGAAAAGTGCAGTTTATTATCTCTCTCTCTCTCTATTCACCGATTCCTCAAGTGCCGTTGTGACCAAAATCAAGGTAAGGAAATCACAGACACGTTAAATTCTCTCTCTTTGATATCATTATTATTGTTAGTTAATTCTCATTCATTAGCACCACTGAACAGAACGAACTACTCGATAATTTTCAAAGACCTATTAAAACAGTCCACTAAGTTACCCAATATATAACAGACCCCATTGGCAATAATAGAAAATGATTTACGATTTCTAGAAAATTCTTACTCTGTTTTACAAAAATATAAAGCTTTTATTTGAAATGTTACTAAAAAACGCTTCGTATATTATTGAAAATGCCTATTTCTGATCCGTCTCTTTTTGTATGCGTGTTTTCCAAAAACTTTTCAATCAAAATTTGTGATACGTTAATCTCATCCAGGCTTCTGGATGAAATTAACTGAGAAATGATTGATATCGTTAGCAAACAATGGCTTGAGAGTTTAGGAGTTTCTGTGTCGACAATAACAGTGTCGGAGTCAAATAATTTTGCTTCGTTAGTGGTATTACTCCTGCAGAAATAAAACTACGAGTAAATACCACTTTTTACGGCAAATTGAAGCAGGATTTCCAACGATCGATGTTACTGAAATTTGGTAAACTTTTTAGAAAACGGGTTGACGTTATGAAACTGGATTCATTGAATCATGTAAACACCTACTTCAAACGGTAGAGTGCCTAATCATACAGTATAAACGTGGTGCTTGGCTCATTGAAAAAAAAGCAAGTGGTAGATGAAATAATTAGACTGAACAATATTTAGGTTGATATTTTGAGTATTTTCCCACTCGCTAGAGCCTATACAAGAAATGAATAATTGAAAACTGTTAAAATGTTAGGTCTAATTAAAAAAAAGTATTAGGTGTTTTTAAAGGTTTTGTCCGTTTCAGTGGCATGTGTTTTTGTAGCTCCATATCTCAATAAATATTTATTCTACTGTGTCGCGGTATATAGTGATCGATGAAGAATTTTGTACTCTACTAGTACTATGTTGCTGTATCGCTGCTGTTCCAATGTTTTGACAGGATCACAATCAACGAAGATAGGCGTCCGCAGCGTTATAGAACAGTGCTTTCAAAAAATTGTTCTACAGCGCCATCTAGTGGCGAGTTACAGAAAAATTGATAGCCTAAAAACCTTCTCTATGAAAAATTACTTATACATGTCTGGTTTCATCATGATCGGTTGAGCGATGTAGAAGTTTATCACTTACCAACCAACCAATCAACCAACCAACAAACATCCATTTTTATATATTAGATACACTGATCCTGTTCAGTTGTTTCCAAATTTTCATTTTTTGCCACTTTTCAACTGATTACTATATGATGTAGTTGAGCGATTTTGGGCCAGTTTTTCTCTATGAATATAATTGAACCAAAGAGCTCCCGAAATAGCCCAAAAAATTAACGAGGTGTTGATGAAGTGTTCGTTTTCGAAATTTCGTTCCAGATATTTTAGCCTCGAAGATAAGCCCCGAATTGGTCGACCTACAGTAATCCAGAACAATGATTTGAGGACCTTGGACTGACCCATCACAAATGGTGCGTGGGATGGGCGTCAGCTGCCACGCGGTTGTTGATGGTTCAAAACGTACCGGAGAGGACAATGGTGAAGACTAACCCATCACAAACGATGCGTGGGATGGAAGTATTTCCTTGGTTTTCCATTTTATAGAAATAATTAGTTCAAACGTCTGATAACTCATATGCCAAATTCACGAACAGCTAGTTAAATATATTGTGTTGGCATCGATGGTAGTTAGGGACGGGTTTTATAAAAGAAGAATCAGGTTCTCTTGATCTGTGTAAATGTATACTTGATCAGTACAGATGGTGGTTGTTAGAATACCGGTCGTTATAGTAAATGTGGTCAGAGAAAAACTAGTAACACTGAAAATGATGTAGTGGAAACAAGGAAATATAGACTTAGTAGGCAAAACACAAAGTTTGGAAGCCTTCATGGAGGTTAGGTTAGGTCCAAAGCGAGTGGGTCTATTCGACCCTCCATCGCAACCCGCAAGGGTTTATTATGGCTCACACCTATTCACACTCGGCCAAATAAACCCAGCTTCTTAAAGAAGCCGATTAGTTTGTATAGTGAGTGGTCTTTCAGGTCAGATGGTGAGAGTTTGTCTCTGACGAACTCTAAAGACCTGATTCGGTCCCCAGCGGGGCAGGCACAAAGCGTATGCTCTTTTAATGAGGTAGTCGGATAGTATAAATCCCATTTTGATACCCACGACAATCTTCCCATATGAGGGGAATGCCTTAGATTCAGCCGTGCAGGGCTTTTTCGCCTCTGGTTTTGGTGAATCATCACTTGAGCGCAAACGTTTGATAATCTGCTTCTGGGGGTTTGTTCCCCCACCTGAGACAGATTCTGCGTACGCCGCTCAAGAATTTGGCGCAAGGAGGTTTTATAAGTTACCCCGCTCTTGAAGAGAAAACTCAGTCGTTTCCTGGCTGCACCACCAAACCTTTTTTTAAGCTTCAGTTGTTGGATCAGGAGTTGGGGAGTTGCGAAGCTCTCGCTCCTCAACTGAATTTACAGGAAGGTCAGTTGGAGTCGTGAACTCGACATCCATCTCCTCTATAGACTCGCTTCTGAACTAAATTTACAGAGAAGTCCATTGGAGTCGTAAACTTGACATCCAGCTCCTCTGTAGACTCGCTCCTCAACTGAATTTACAGGAAGGTCATTTGGAGTCGTAAACTCGACATCCATCTCCTCTGTAGACTCGCTCCTGAACTAAATTTACAGGGAGGTCCATTGAAGTCGTAAACTTGACATCCATCTCCTTTGTAGACTCACTTCTGAACTAAATTTACAGGGAGGTCCGTTGGAGTCGTAAACTCGACATCCATCTCCTCTGTAGACTCGCTCCCGAACTAAATTTACAGGGAGGTCCGTTGGAGTCGTAAACTCGACATCCATCTCCTCTGTAGACTTGCTTCAGGGAGTTGAAAAATAATGGAAAACTTAAAGGATATTCTCAAAACTTGAAGATTCCAAATATTGAAAAAAAAATAGATATTCACGTGCTGGTATCTAATAGATATGTGACCTAATTTTGAAAATTTATGGTAAGGATTGAATATGAATTGAACAGTAATATTCCGGAATATATATCTCGATATATTTTCTTTGTTGTTTGTCAAAAAAAATATCTGATGAATGTTATAAAATAAATCAAACTTTGCTTGAAAATACACCTCATGACTATCGTTATTTGTTTAATGATGAACACATCCAAGTCCTGATAAACAAAGTAAATAATAACGATCTAGATGTGATTACTAACATAGTTTTATGTGGAGCACGAAACTGAATCCCAAATTTTATATTATAAGATAAAAATTGGCTATATCCTTTCAATTTCATTTGCGATAAAAAAATATTGTATTAAAAAATAATACAATGTTCGAAGTGAAATTTTGTAGTTTGTTACGAATAGAATTTCTGTTATTATAATAATAATCTACATCTTCATTATTTCCACTTATTAGACACTTTTGAATTATTTTAATCTGAATATAATGCAATGTAAATGAAAATAAAAGGCGGAGTTCATTTTTTATAGAGACGGGTCTTTAAAAAAACTGTTCTTCCACTTCTTTCATAAAATCCAGTAATGATTTTACATATAGATAGTGTGTGTGTTTTATTTTCAGAATGAAAGGTGAGGAGAAAAAGGAAGAATGGAATAAAGTTAACTGAGGTTGCTTCAAGAATAAATAATGATTGGGGACTTACCTACTACTTGATTATAGTTGTAGTCAAAACCCACAAAAAAAATCGTATACATGTTAACTTTTATGTCAATTCTATCTTCAATTTATTGTTTTTCACTCATTTTTACTGCCCTGAAGAAGCTTCCCATTAGAAGCGAAAGCTTGGCATCTGCTAATCATATAGGTCGAAACGTGGCCTTCGACACGCTGATTATAGGCACGCGACTCCGGCCCCCCAGCCAGTACCGCCACAACCACCATTTGGAAATAAGAATGATCGTTTGAAGTTTTCTGTTTTAAAGGCTGGAGGAGTCAAAGTACCTTTGAACCTCACATTCAAATTTTGGATGTCGGAACGGAAAGTTATTTGTCTGAGTAGATAACACGGAGTTTTATTTGTGATAATCCTATGAAACAGATTTGCACTATGTAGATGTCTTCTATTGGTCATATTCAACCATCCGTTGTCTCGCAATTTATGTGATATCCTTTGACGTTTACGAATTCCAAAAATTAGTCTTAAACATGAATTTCGTACCTTTTGAATTCAGTTTTGATAATGGCTTGTGAAGCAAGGACCATAAAGTGAATCACCATAATTGAACAATGTTAGCACCAATGTCTCACGAAGAACAGTTTTTACATACGGTGTTAGAGCTTTTCTACTTCCGTATATCGTTTTTAAAATAGCATCAATGTCAGTATTAATGATAATGGATGCAGTTTCTTTGTCATCCAGAGGAAAAAAATTGTGATATATTCAGGTGTCATCATCATAAAGATTAGCCGAATATTTTTCAAGAGAATCATATAAAACCTGAAGTGTATATGGTGGACAATAACGGCCCTAAAATAAATCCCTGGGGTACACCAGCAAGAAGATCCTCATACTGAGATTGGTTATTATCTATACATACTTTTTGTTTTTTTACTGTGAAGTAGCTTTCGAAAAATGCCAGAGCTGCCTCAGAGAGTCCAATAAAGTCTTCTCCCAATCTAAACTATTCAGGTACTGCAAAAATATCTGCTTCCTGTTATTAGTACAGGGTGGGTCATCGAAAACCTATGACAAGGTAGATCTACCAAGCAGGTTTTTCGCACACAAATACAAAGTCAAATCAAGTTTGTTTTTAAAAAGGATATTTATTCCATACAAACATTCCCAATAACGTCAACTTTTTGAGACGTTTTTTTGAATTGGAAATGGTGGGACAAATGATATCTCGTTGGAAAGGGGTTTCGATTCACTGCTACTTTGTTTTTGAAAATCGTGATTTTACTTGAGAAACACGCTGTACTTTCCAATACAGGGGAAAGGATTTCAGATTTTTTTCAACTATTACACAATATTTATATAATATAGGTATATGGAAACTAGTTTACTCAACTGTGGCTTTATTTGGATTTGAAACTATCCAAAATAATCAAAAATTGAAATGAAAAAAAATAAAAACCGAAATGAGCTATAGAATTCAGTAGACAACCCATCAATACCTTGCGGAAATACTCTAAGAATCGTAGAACAAGGTATACCTGGAGTATTTTAGAGCTGTATTTGTGTCAAAACAAATTTTCACACCAGTTTGAGACCAAAAGCTACTCTATACGAGGAAATTCATATAACTACTCTTTGTTTACTCTTGTTTCAATTCCAAATTACGAAAGAAAAAGATGTCACTCAATAATCTGTATCTGAAAAACGTCTGTGAATGTGAACCAAATCTTTTTTATTGATACCTTCATTTTTGTTTTCTCTAATTGGAAGATTTCTATTCTATATGCAAAAAATTTGGAGCACAAGTTAAAGCACCTATATAAAATTTCTGACCCTTTACATTGACCAGTGTGTCAACTGGAGGAGACACTGTGAGACAGTAATTTCAAAACTTAACTCGGTCAGCTATAACTTTTCAGAAACATCAGATCAGTTCTGACGGAAAAACAACTCTGATAATGTCATATTATACACAGGTCGTATCGTATCCCCACTAAGATATGTTATATGTTTTTGGGGGGTCATCCACTTGTGTCGCAGAAAAAATTGATTCATTGTATCGCTGGTGTCTCTCGTACCTCTAGTTGTAGTTGCTTAAAACCTATCAAATTTTAATATTGCCGTTTGTATATACCTGAAGTATGTGTTTTTGCATTTTGTATATCAAACTTTTTTGAAACTAATCAGCAAACTCACATTATTAATGCAAGACTGCGAAAGGACTTACATGTGCCACTTTGAAAGACAAATCTTTTATACAGGTCATCCACTGTGACTGGGTAAAGGTTGTTTAATAAACTTCCGGCCGATATTAAATCATGTGTAACATTGGAAGCAATGAAACAGTGTCTTAGAAAGTACCTGTTAAAAGTTTTAGAATTACTTCTATTTTTTAGTGCGACTGTATTTCAAGCGGAAATTTAGGCTATTGAATTGTGTTCGGAGAGATTGGAAGAATCCAACCTCATACACAAGTCAATGAAAATATTCTCAGACAGTCAACCGGCGTTGGAAGCTCTTGGCTCCTACCGAGCAACGTTGGTAGCAAATTGCCAAAAACGACTCTTCTTGATAGGAAGACTAAACAGATTGTCTCTGATCTGGATTCCTGGCCATACTGGCCTGGAATACAATGAGGCTGCTGACTCCCTTACAAAGAAGGGTGCTGCAAACAGCTTCATTGGACCAGAACTTATCACTGGGATCGGTTTGGGCTTTGCTAAACAAAGATTGAACACCTGGATGGCAAGAAGATTTATGGACTTCTGGCAGAATCTTCCAGGATTAGCTCACTCCAAAGGGTGTATTCACCTTTCGAAGCTTGTTACCAAACATTTGTTGGACTACTGTAAGAATGAACTATGATGTCTAACAGGCCTTTGACTTATTTTAGTGAATTTTCATGAAAATAAATTTCAGAGTAGTGAGAAATTGACTTCTTGTTGGTGGTTCGATGGGAAATTTTATCGTTTTGATTTATTCATTTCCAAGGATTTCGGCATTTTCTCGAACAAATTTATTTACCCATTAATTTTAATTTAGTCTCCTTCAAAGTAGTCCCTCTCAGATATAATATACTTGTGCCAGCGCTTTTCTCAATCCAGGAATCAGTTCTGATATGCATTTTTTGGAATGTCCCTGAGCTCTCTTAGCGATTCGGTTTTTATTTCCTTAAGCAGGGATGAATTGCGATGTCTAACAGGCCTCATTACAGGTCACTGTCATTTGAATCATCATATGCAGAGATTCGGACTGTCGGAAGACAGTGTGGGTCGCCTCTGTTTGTAAAATGGTGAAACAGCAGAGCACATACTTTGTGCCTGTCCCGATGTGGACCAAATCAGGTTTTTAGAGTTCGGCCTAACCTAGACCTAACCTAACCTAACATATTTGTTAGTCAAGTGGCTATTGTTCTTTGACGAATTCTACTACTTATCAAATGAAAGTTAAGTCAATTACTCAACACAATACACCTGTGACTAAAGTCTTCGAGTCCTTCATTTGAAAAATGAAAGGTGAATATACATCCCGAGGTCATCTTTTTCTTGATGATTTTATATCTGACAAATGTCACTGCAGGATTCTCCACTGAAGTTATTCCTGTATATGTTGTTGGCGATACAACTGCCGCAATAGATTTTCAATAATTGGAACACACTTGCAGACCAGTTTTGTGCTGTTTGGCCACTCGTCAGTGCAAGTGCAATCATCAACATAAAGTCGATAATTTCCGATAATAGAAAATATCGAATTCCTTCAGATTATCATTCCTCGAACTAGGCTGAAGCGGACAACAAACAACAGGATTTTCATCGCTCTATCTGCCTGTGAACGAGGTAACCAACCACATATCCGAAATTCCTCGTATAAGGAAAGAAAACAGTGGACATACTCGAAGACTGGCTATAAATCAAATCATCTAAAGGAACAACTCGTTCAGGCCAGTCTGAACTGTAAAAAATCCAACACCCTTTGTGGTATTAGCCAGAGGAGCAGTTGTTTTCTGATAGGTGTCAGTTCATTAATCTACAGTGTAGGGAGTTGAGACTGGCCTGAACGAATTGTTCTTTCAGATTATTTGATTTATAGCCAGTCTTCAAGTATGCCCACTGACTATGTGAAAAATTCTTGAAATGCCAAAATATTCTGACAATATTCATGTTTCGGTTAAAATTTATCAGAGGAATTTTCGAAAGGGCTATCTATACTACCAACATTTAAACTAATACTGAAATCTGCAAAATGACTTCTATAATAGGCAAAGCATTGCGAAAGGAAATGATACTCATTCCTTTGTTTCAAACTTTGTGATATGTTTATCGATATTAATCACTTGTTTTCACTGTTATTAAGAGATATGACAAAAATGAGTCATCAAATAAGTAATAGAGAAATAAAAAATCGTTCGTATAAGCAAATTGTATCTTTCACGATCACAACGAAATGGAAGATCTTGATATTTCAAACGGACCAATATGGATAATGACAAAAAGTGAGGAAAACTATTATATTGACATATGTCCTTTCACCACGCCCTGAAAAATGGCGAAAGTGATGACTCATCAAAGTGTTTCAGAATCTAAAGCGTTAAAAACAAAAAGCTATAGGCTATTTCAGGTTACAGAATGAACTAACCATAATCAGTCGGATATTCCAATAAACGTCCAGATCGTCCCTTTTTCATGAGAAATTTCGTAGGACTCAACATTACAACATCATTGTTAGTGTCATTTGTTTCACTATTTGTTATTGCAGGTTTGCTATCAGAAACTACAGGGGGCACTACAGCTATAAAAATAAAAGTCTACTTTAATATACACATATTTCAGACGCCTCTACACTTACCATAATTTGGGTTTGTAGTATCTGAAGGCCCAGTGTTATTGGTGGGCTCTTCTACAGCAGCTTCAGATCCTGAATTTGACCTAGTTTCTGTAGCCACTATTTCCACATCTGCTGTATTGTCTTGTGGCAAGGGGATTATATCTGTTGAAATATCTTCCCCAATCACGACACCAACACACAGTACTAGAGTCAAAACCAATTTCCACTTGACGTACATTTTCCAAAACTTGGCACAGAGCCTCAGTTTGATAATTTATTGTTTTCTATCACCATACGTGTACTTTTATGTATGAGGTTCGTTACTCGATTGCCTTCTCACAAGTGTGCTCTGTAACAAGATAAAATTTGTTATCTGAGTCTGTATTAATGACACCTATAATGAAATAAGTGTAAATATAACAAGTGATACGATAAATATCGTTTATCTCGATAGATAATACGTATTCACCTGTCTGAATATTCGTGGTTCTAGCAAGGAATTTTTCCCAGAAATTCAGAAATAATGGTTTTCTCAAATGGGGTGAGTCATGCGATTCATTAATTGCTGTTGGCAAATAAAAAATTGACTTGAATTCAACCCAACCCAGAAAATTATTAATGTTCATCTAAAAATTGAACACAAAAAACTGACCCATTGTTTGAATGAAGAGGGATAGTGTTAAAGTTTGTCGGTTTTGGAATTTGGGTCTCAGTGGATTTTTTTAATTTTGATATGATGTAGTCCATGTAATTCTCAATATAATTCATCGTAATCTGGAATTGAACAAGTAAAAATATCATTCCCGCCTATAATAAATTGTTATGAGCAAGATATGTATTTAACGCCTCCTAGTATCAAAACTATTCATTTTTGGGGTTTATTCACAATAACATGTATCATATTAAAAATTCAGAAAAATCCACCGATTTTTTTTGTTTTGTACCCCTCGGCAGTAGGGGGGATAATTATATGAAAAAGTGCTATTTCCCTAATTGAAGCGTATTCAAACATCCGACGATACATTTCAACGTATCCAGCTATAATTTTTTTGCGTTTCATAACTGGTGGGTGGGGGGAGAGGGAAAGATTTTTTTTATAAAAGAGCATAATAATAATGAAACAGGTGGAAATGTTGTTTCCAGTTTCGAAAATGAATAGTTTATTCTGAGAAAGGGGTGATTTTAACGACCCCTAGCAGAAAAATTTTCTTTTTTTCGGGGTGGGGGAATGATAACATTGGTTGAGAATTACATGGACTCCGTTATGTTAAAAATTCAAAAAAATCCACCAAGACCCAAATTTTATAAGGATTTTGCGGGGTTTTTACCAGCTGAATAATTTGCAATTCATTCCAGAGCTGGTTATTTTCAGGGCTGATATATGGTATCACTGTACAATTCACAATACCGGAATTAAACAGTTTAAAATCAACAAGGTTTCTGGTCACGATGGATTAGTTTTGCATCTTGAAATAAAAAAAATGCCCCAATGAATTAGTACCTACCCGTATTTTATAAGCTTTCAACCTGTTTCAAAAAATATGTTTTTTTTTCACTCGAATCCAGTCTACGAGTATACACAAGAAGTGTAAGAAAAAAAGTTCAAATAAGTATAAATGAGTAGGTTTGTACCATGTCTACTCGAAAATTGAGCTGGAAATGTAAATCAATATGTTCTTGAATATTCGGTACGCATAAACATCTGGAGCGACCATTATGTTTCATGCTACCCATCTTTCTAAAATCTTTGAACGTTTGTGGCATAAGTATTGTCAGATATTTTCCTTCGTTAATCTTCTGCTTTCTCAAAAAACAGTTCTTCATCAATATCATCGATTGTTCTTTCTTGGATACCTTCAAGAGTGGACTCATATTGTTTTCAACCATTTCTCTATTGTAAGTATATCGACAAATTATTAGAAGAGACCAATCTTTACAATCTGTATCGTCAAAAGAAAATTGGAAACTGGTCACCCTTTTAGAATAAGAGCCTTTCTCAATAATATGTTGATATTTCAAGTTGTTTTTTTCGTTCATTTCCGCACTTGTGCCCAGTGGGACCTGTTTTTAGTATTTTATTCAAACCAACACTCTTAAATCCACAGAAAACCCAAACCAGGTTACGTTCTTGACGTAACCTGGCAATGAAAAGAGATCGCCTTGAATGCCTTATTTCCCCTTAAAACAAACAAATTAGCACAAGTCGAATATGTATGTGATACCACACTTTTGAATAATATATTTACTAACCGTTGTGAATGTGAATAAGTTATGAAAGAATATAAAATATGTTTTATCGTCGCATTTATGAAAGTTTTGTTTCAAATATCTACGATATTCACAAAAAATCTAAAAGTGCTCATCAAGGAAGCAGGGTGGTAATGAAGTGTGATAATGAAGAAAATAAGTATCAAATTAAATACAGTATACTCTACTAAAAGGCATCATTTTTTAAAATTTATTATTGATAAATTTAGCAGTTCAGCAATTACATGGCAACTGCTCATTTTTCAAAATCTATTGAAACTATTAAAAGTCATTGATGTGAAACGTATACCTATAATAGTACCATTTATGATGTAGTGGAATTAGTGGAATTGTTAAAATTTGTAATTATCATTGGACTGGTACTCTACATTACTTTACAACGCAATACATACAAATTATTATTCTTAATAGATTAAAAATTGATTTACAGGTAGTAAAAAGAATAGGTACCAACAGGTACCTATTGTACAGGTACAAATTCTAGTAAATTTTTCATGAAAATAGATTTCAGAATGGTAAGAAATTGACTTATTGTTGGTCGTTCAATTAATTTCCAAAGATTTCAGCATTTTCTCAAAAAAAAATTATTTATCCATTAATTTTCATTTAGTCCCCCCGCACCCGCACGGGTGCAATGCTGATACTGAATATATAAACGCGTGCGATCACTGCTAATCATATAGGTCGAAACGTGGCCTTCGACACGCTGATTATAGGCACGCGACTCCGGCCCCCCAGCCAGTACCGCCACAACCACCATTTGAATATTGTGGGTTATACCTGAGAGATATACATATCCTTGAGACATATACCATCGTGGACTTTTTTTGTAGATGAAAAGAGAAATGAAAATTTCTATGTTTTTTACCACTTTTATTTGTAACTATTAGTTACAAATAAAAGTGGTGAAATTTCTATGTTTTTTACCACTTTTATTTGTAACTAACTATTAGTTACAAATAAAAGTGGTAAAAAAATAGAAATTTTCATTTCTCTTTTCATCATGATCTCCTACTACATAGTAACGGCTACATCCATCAATTTATTTTTTTGTAGACTTTTTTAAGGTATACAATACTGTAGTACCTACACATTATTTTGATCTATTTAGTAGGGTTCAGTCAGCGTTAGCAATGTAAGCGCAAAAATGTGTTTATTTACATCACACTAAAAACTTCCAAAATTGCCAGTGTTTCTCTACTATATTATTCAATACATATAAACCTTCCTGTATCTATTAAAAACCCCCATAAAAATCCGTTGCGTAGTTTTGAAGATCTAAAGATACTGCTCAGCGGGAAGCGCTGTTTTAAGTTAGCTTGCTACAACGGCAACGTTCTAAATAAAGTTATCGTTATCATTTTTATCTTGATTGTAAAATTATGTTTCAGTTAATGTTTCGAAATGAAGTATAGATGCGTTACGCCTTATATTCTCACATGAAATATTGATAAGCTGTAGGTATGACACATATACCTTTGGTGATAAATAACGTACTGAAAATATCTGATGCTATTTTCAAAAACAAATATCTGTGATAATAATTATGAAAATAATTGAATTTCGAAGGAAAATATATGTACAGTGGTACATATCATATATTAAAAAGTCACACTGTCACAGTAGAGGGTTCCTTTTCTTGTCTTTGATACTTGAGTTTGATTCCTATAAAAACTGTGTTCAAACTAATTCATGTCCTCGGATCAAAAAATCAGGAAATGCAATTAACTTTTTGATACATGTACATAGTTTATTTGAATAAATAAAATACATTTGGGTGCTATTAACTGTCCATTTTCAGCTTTCTCAAAGAGTATTACCAAAGTTTATATTGAATTTTTTTCTCTTTTTCTCTCAAACAGCCACATCTCAGCAACTTCTAATGCCTTATAAAACTCAAATTGAACAGCCAGATTTGGAATATTGCTCAAAAATATGGAAGTCCGCCCCTGAAATTACTAGATTCTATTAAAAAAAAAACATCGCCTTATTATGGTCCCAAACATCACAAGCCACCTTGATAGCATGGAACTGCGAAGGAAGATTGGGGACTTCTCTCTTTTCATGGAAAGTGTTCGACTGACATAACCCGCTTGATTCTTCCGAGGGGAGTATATATCAGAAGTACTCAGCAGCTTGCCATTGTTCAGTGTAAAACACCTCGAACCACACTTTTTAGAAATATGTATCATTTAGAGAACAGCTTCTTTGGGGAATGAACTTCCCGAGATGGTTTTTTCAAATGAATATAATCTACATCGATTCAAATCCAAAGTAATTCGCTACTTTCGCAAAGCACCGCATCCAGATCACTTGAAGAATTTTTCTGTAGTGCTTGTGCATACCATGAAAAATATAGGACGGATGTGATTCAAACAAGTTGTGCTTCAACATCTAGAATAAAAATGAGGGCCATTTTTCGGGAGAGGTAAGTTTTCAAAAAAAAAAAGGTTTTTGACTTTCTACTCCTCCATCTTTATACATTTTTTTTTAAATGTAGGAAACTTACGAAGAAAGGAAAAAAGCAATTAAGTTCAAAATAAACTCTCAACAAAGGTGTAGATCATGCACAGAGGTTTCTTTCAGATACAAACTGCAAGAAAAAGCCCTCTCAAAACAACTACTTTCATATGAACATGAATTACATGAAAGAAAAAAATTCTTTCAAAACGACTACTTTCATATAAACATTGAATTATACGAAAAACAATCTTCATTCAGACAAAATCACTTGTGATTCTTGCACATCACGATTTTATGTCACCAGATGAGACAAATCTGCTCGTCGCAATGACAGTATGTAACACATACATACGATTATTTGATTCTGATACCAACCATAGGAACTTCAAGTTTCCCACATTATGACGTTTCGATATAAAATTTCGATTCCAGACATTCAATATGAGGATTATTCAGCGGAAACTTAGTCTGTACTAAGTTTTTGGGCCTACAGATAGGAAGCACTTTGAAATTTGGCGAAGACATATTGAGGCTGACAAAGATATTAAACTCCGGATGCTTTGTAATGAGAAAGATTGCTAATGAACTAGATTACACTTCAGCATAATTTGTTCTAATCGAGTCACATTTGATATATAAGATCGCATTTTGGGAAGTACAATTTTAGACGATCTTTGTGATTCAGGTATGAGCTGCAAGGTATCTGTTAAAGTATAAGTCGAGGGGCTCCTGCAGACCATCGTTTCTTCAAAATGAAATTTTGACTTATCTCGGTATCTATACTTGAAATGATCTGACTTATCAACAAGAATAAAATCAATCTAAAGACTGCTCCAAATTACTGTGGAGCTTGCTTTTTTGATTTTTGACCCGTCCTAAATATACAATCAAGCCAATGAAGCACAAGTAAGTTTATATAACAAAACTCCTAACAATAGTATAAAACATGAATTGCATCAAGTCCAATATTCTACCAGAGGAATTTGATATGATTGTACCTTTTAGTATTTTTTGTTATTGTATTATTCCTATAGTTGAAACCAGAGCATATTTGTGACAGCTGCAGAGGATGAATCTCATTCAGCAACGGATCACCTTGGAAATGTTCGTTTATCTTTGATATCCAAGGATTGAGCCTTCTGTCAATCTCATAGATGCCGTCTTTTTGAGGAGAGGAGTCCTTGCCTTTACATTTCCATAGTATTTTTTATATGTGTGTTACATTGACTGTTCAAACTGGCGATTATAAAATAAAAATACTATGTGGTTTCTTAAGCTTATTTGTATATATTCCATTCGTATATTACACACCAGAAAAATACCAATTTTATTTTAGGCTCCCAAAAAACACGGTCCAGGACATATAAGAGCCATAATACAGCGAATGTCTAAATAAAACTAGATGTAAAGATTGAAACAATCGTTTGTATATAACGAAACACGAGTTGCGTATTTTGTAGAACTGTTTAGCGGAAATCTCACAATAAAGTGTTTCTTGAATATGAAACAGAATCAATTATAAAAATTCATTTCGAAGAAGGGCAAGTAGATTACTTTTATTAGAAAATGTGTCCATGTTTGAATGTGTTTGTTGAAGTCTATGTGTTCAGGTTCTAGTATTTTTGTAACAATAGTTTAGATACAAAAAAATTCCACCAAAATAATGTAAAAACTGAAAAAAGGTTCAATTCCTGATGGTGAATCTTGAGTACTAGAAGTAAACTCTTTTTTAATGTTAGGGAGAGTTAGGACGTAAAATATTTTTCTTAAGAAACCATTTGGTTACTGCCTAAATTTAGTTTAGTTTTTATTTCCAAGTATAATTAAAATATTTCCAACGTTTCAGATACTTTTGGGGGAGCTGTCAATGCCCTCAAATATCAATTTTAATTCCGTGTTAGGAATCACACGTTAAAAGGTAAGACCTCGTTAGTCCTTACCTCGCACAAGTTTCTCAACTTCTGAGAGTTGTCGTTCGGCAGCTGATTAACGGAAAAACAGATTTTAAACAGAACAGATTCAAACAAATAATTGCTGAGCCACCACCAGACAGTACACTTTGTAATTGTATGCAAGAGGTTTGGTGATCAAATTAATATTATGAAGTGTTGTTTTAATTGAAAGATGTATTAAAAGATGAACAATTTAGTATTTTGGCAACATTTCGGTAAATCCATCATCAGGACTTATGTTTGAAAAGTTGAAAAGATATATAATAGACAATATAGATACACTAATGTTTGAGCCATGATGATGGATTTGATAGAGTCTGAAATGTTTGTCAAAAACTAAATTGTTCATCTAGGAACATTTTTGATCCCTCTTCCAACTGAAACAACAACTGAGTAACATTTGTTTATAAAACAAAATAATCATACTTGTCTTTGAATTTAAATGGTTGGAATCGTTAAACATGCTTGAAATATCTTCCCCCAATTGAAATTTTTGCTTCATGAGAATTTTCAAACAGCTGCTTTTCTAGTTTCAAAAACTTTGTTGAAAATTGTTTAAAATAGTATCAATATTTTTAGTTTAAGAGCTTTTTCCAATCATCAATATTTTTATTTCAGAGTGAGTAAAGCATTTCAGCATTTTTGTCTCGAGGTAAAAAAGTTGAACTGAAATATAAGCATAAAATTAATATATTCCAGATGAGTACAAAAATCAATATATGATTCTATTCAAAAAATTCGGTGACTTCTTGCAATTCTCTTTCCCTTGCTTGTTCATGCGCCCATCTATCTTCTGCAAGTTTATCAGTTAAAGACCATTTGAAATGGTAGATTCTCTTATTGCAGGTTGAGCACTTCTTATTTCCAAATGGTGGTGTCTTCATGTATTTGAAAAAGCATTCCTGATGGAAAAGATGGCCACAATAGACTCTCTCGATGTATTTTGGAGAATTTTCATCCCTTTCCAGATCCTGTGAACAATTGAACAGATGTGATATTTATTATTTTTTATGTATTCAATGAAAAATGATACTTAAAAAAATGAAGGAACTTTGCTTTGAATATTTACGAGAGAAAAAATTTTCTGCACATATTTTCAGTTCACCAAATAACAGAACTTTACCCTGATTGAATAGAAGAATAATCTAGTTTTTGATGCATTATTGATAAAAGTACCATATTAAGAAAAAATAAACTGAAAATATACATGCAAATTGTACAGGTCAAAATATAATAGTCATTCATCATTAGAATTATTCAAACATATTTTAAGCCACCGAAAAGGTAATATCATATGAAAAACATTAGGACTAGTTTTATTTAGTATAGGGGATAGAACTGATAAAAAATATTGTCGATAGTATGCTTTTAGGGAAAAGTCTTGTAATTTATTTTTCAGTGTTGTTTTAGATAATTTTTTAGTGTACTAGGGTGTTTTTGATAATTATTTATTGAAGTGAAGGTACTTTACATTTCTCTATGCATGAAAGTATCGAGAATACTGGTAACCAATATTAAAGTTTCAATTGAAGAGAACAAGAGGCTGTGCTTAAGTGGAACCTGAAGCACCAACCGTTTTTTCTGCTACTGTGGCAGACATCTCCAGTAGTATGTGCGTTGAATGCGAGGACGAAGGTTATATCTTGAAGTCTCAGTCATCGCTGAGATGAATGCCAGTACTAGCCTGGATTTTTTCTCTTTAAGTGGTATTTTTGGTTGGATGAATAAGTGATTCATCAAAATCCTCAATAAGCTTTGCATTATTTTTATTTTGAACATTGTACAATCAAAAATGTACCGACTATAAGTGGAAAGTCATCTTCGTATTAGTCAGGTTTGGAGTCCAGCTCCCCTACCCTTTCGGCTGATTGTTGGTCTCGAGAAGGACAAATGGGTTCATGACTGATGGTATAGTGGCATGAAGTCCTCAGACATCAGTGCCGCCCTTCACGGGATACCCCTACCTGGCTGGGGTGGGATGGATGAGAAAGTTGTTCCTCCGTTAACGGGGGACATGATGGCCCAATTCAACAGAGTGTCGGAGCCTTCTATATCGGGAGGGGTCGTCTACAGCATAATCTGTGGCTTCCCTAACTAACGGGTTCTCATGAGTTTCCGTACCTCCAAAAACTCTCTGATTCCTCGACTGGATGGACTGCCGAATGGAAGGCAGCTGCAAATCTCTGCGGATGGCTTTGTTCCGCATGAACCAAGGAGCATTCACAATCATCCTAATTAACTTATTTTGTAACCTTTCCAAAATGGAAATGTTGGACGGAGCCGCTTGTCCCCAGACGCCTGAAGCATACATGATGACAGGTTTGAACATTGTGTTATAGATGGTGATTTTATTCTTCGTGCTCAGTTTAGATTTCCTATTGACCAGAGGGTACAGACTAGCTATCCGACCCTCGATCTTTGACTTAACGCACATGATGTGCGGGTTCCAAGTGAGCCTACGGTCTATTACAAGGCCGAGGTACTTTACCCGCGCTTGCCATTCAATCTCCCTTCCAGAGATTCTCTGGAAGGGAGATTTTCTGGCCGGAAAAGAGAGTAATCTTCCAATGGTTATCGCCTGAGTCTTTTCCAGGTTTACTCGGATCTTCCAGTCAAAGTACCAGCGCTCGAGGTCGTCCAATGCACGTGGCATGTAGACGACGCCGAGCTCTCGACTCATGGAAGATGAGAGAAGAGCCGTGTCATCGGCGTAGAGGGATATCTTCACTCGCTCGGACCTGGGCAGGTCGTTGGTGTAGAGTGAATACAGCGTCGGAGAGAGCACGGCCCCCTGTGGCACTCCAGCGAGGATCTCTCTGTTATCAGACAGAGAGCCCTCTACTCAGACCTGAAAAGTTCTGTCTTTCAGGAAATACCCGATTCACCTGATCAGGCCCCGAGGTAGGTCGAACGCGTTTAACTTGTGCAAAAGGCCTTTGTGCCATACTCGGTCGAAGGCCTTCGAGATATCTAGCAGCACAATATGCACTTTCTTGTTTGCATTAAGCTCGCTGATGATGTTTTCGACCATACCGACTATAAAAGATCAATACTTTCTTTTCAATGAAGTTTTACAGTTATTAGTTTTTTCATATTTTAGGAAACATATTTGAGAAAAGAAAAACATGAATTTTTCTTCAGTATTCTTCAGTGAACTTGTGCAAAGTAGATAGACATTTATTGTTTCAGTGATTATTCTTAGTGTACAGCAACATTTTGTAAAATTTTTTGATAAACTATATAGTCAAGCGAGTTTTCCAATTTTATGTGGAATCCAGCTGAATTTCCAGGAATTGTGAACTTTTACTCATTTGCTGTTATTATTTTCAACTCAATGAGAGCATTTATTTGGTCGAGTTTTGTTTTTGTTCAATATTACATGATTTTGTGCAAATTGAAACTTCCAGAGTATGTAGTGAATTGAAAACATTTCTGTCAAAGACATCTCTGTCTTGTTCTTCGATGATAGCAATTACATAACAACAAACACATTAGTAGTTAATTTCTTAACCGTTGGTAATTTATTAGTATAGAAAATATACAGTAAAGGCTGTAGAATTGAATCTTATAGTATCGCTCTAAGAATAATTGTAAGTATGTTATATCTTCGGATCATATTTGTAGGGTGATATTTTCCAACAACACAGATTTACATTGTAGACTATGCTATTGAATTGTGTACGGAGAGGTTGGTAGAATACACAATTCAATGACAATATTCTAGGACAGTCAAACGGCGTTGGAAGCTCTTGGCTCCTACCGAGCAACGTCTAAATTGGTAGCAAATTGTCAAAAATGACTCTCCTCAATAGGAAGACTTAACAAACTATTCCTGGTCATACTGTCAATGGCATTGCTTTAGGTTTTGCCAAACAAACATTGAACACTTGGAAGACTAGAAGATTTATGGACTTCTGGCAAAATATTTCTGGATTGGCTCACTCCAAGGTGTTCTTTCACCCTTTGAAGCTTGAAACCAAACAGTTGTTGGACTACGGTAAGGATGAACTACGATGTCTAAAAGGTCTTCTCACAGGTCACTGTCATCTGAATCATCATTGGCAGAGATGCGGACTGTCGACAGTGTCTTCCGACAGTGTGTGTCGCCTCTGTTTGGAAAATGATGAAACAGCAGAGAACATACTTTGTGCCTGCCTCGCTGCGGACCAAATTAGGTTTTCAGAGTTTGGCAGAGCCGCACTCTTACCATCTGACCTGAAAGATCACTCACCAAATAAACTAATCGGCTTCGTTAGGAAGCTGGGTTTATTTTGTCGAGTTTGAATAGGTGTGAGCTACAATATACGCGTTGCGGTGGAGGGTCAAATTGACCCACTCGCTTTTGACCTAACCAAACCTAACCCATTGTAGAGTAGAAATCTGTCTGTAACAAATTGTTATGTATAGGTGAAAATAGAGCATTATTATGACACAATAATTAACAGTAGAATACCTTAAAAGAAAAGTTGAAAATGGATTCGAAAAGGAAACAAACATATCTTTGATCAAATTTTCAGGCATATCTCTGATTAATAAAATTCTTACATATATTTTCGAATGAAATTGCTTGCATTGAAGACGCAAAATTCACAATCTCTGAGATTACTTCAAAGTAGATTAAGAGTTCGAAGAGCTAATATTTTCGAAGTATAAATCACTTATTTCTTACTTCTGGATCAGATGGAAAGCAGTTCTTCTTGCATAATTGGCAATTTTCAGTGGGCAATCTTTTCACACAATCAATAATAAACTCAACAGGCTTCCTTAATGATGGACTGGGTTCAAATTTCGGTTCGTTAGGCTTCCTTCTCAAAGGTGGTTCTACGCACTTTCTTGCTATTTCTTTTGCCTGCGCTACCATGTGACGATAGAATGATTGTGTGAAATTTGTATCAACATCTTGAAAGCTACAAATACATTATAATATAGTAAAAATGTTTTTTTACATATATTTATAAACAATAATTTTTATATACTTATATACAATTTGAAATTATCACTGTAAATGAAATCTTTATATATGGAATTAACCTAGGATGAAGTAGGAGGAAGTGGCAGAAGTAGTTCCAAATTCTCCAATAGTGACGGTAAGTAGTATAGATTCAATACAATGTGGTTTGAAATTCGATTATGGTAAATTAGAATCAGAATCAGAATATCAGATAATCAGGAAATTACATAATGACTTCATAAACATGGTGTATGGAAAAAGTTTTTTGACCCTTTGTTGAGTAATGGAAAGGTATAAGTAGTTTATTTCTTGTACTTGTACCTGTTTTCAAGAGGATCATTTCTTTCAGCAGAATGAGTAGAAAGGATTACTCAATCGAACTTTTACTTAGAAACTGTGAATGCAAATCAGATAATTCACAGACTGTCAATTGAAATTGTGGACATATAAAGTTCTCTCTTTTTCAACTTTTGAACAAGACTAGATGTCAAGGTCAGATAAAATATACTTGATTTTTAGTACTTTTTGACGAAAAAGGAAATGGGCTTTATTTGCAGCCAAGAGGGAGCTATCAACCTCTATTTCAAATAGAAAAAGAGGTGTAGTGGTACCTCGTTTGATAGAGCTTTCAATTCTCAATCCAACAACACTTTATTTTTAGTATCAGACCAGCTGTCGTTAGAGGTTATTAATAATTCTTAAGAATTTATAAAACATAATTTCATTAAAAATTTTATTCAACACTTACCTCAGTATATATCTATAATGTTCACTTTCTGACAATAACAGTGTGTTAAGAAATTAATTTCGAAGTTTCTAAGGAAATTTCATTGAAAGAACCTATTATTCTATCCATGGAATGGTCTGAAGTTCTCTAAAGTACACTTTCGACTGATTTTCCACTATAAAAACATAAGGAAGTCATATCAGGTGACCTAAAGGGGCTTTTGAATGGTCGTCTGTCTAGCCACCAATTTGCATAATTGTCAGGCACTCACAAAGCACCCTGTCATAATGAGGAATGGCCCCATTGTGCTGAAAAGAACCAACAGGTGAAAACTCATTTGGGTTTGCCTGAACTATTTCATCAATAATAGGTCTGATGCTTCCCTTTTTATCTCATGAATAAATGGTCCACCAGTATGTTAAATTATTGACAAGTACTATTATTATTTATTCCGTGAATAAACGGTTCAACAGTATAACTTACAAAATCAGTCCAGACACATTCCAAAGATCATTTGAATGAGGTATCACAAGAACCCACACAATTGTTTTCCTTACCAAACAGTATTGAAAATGTTGCCTTTTACTTTTCCCGACTTTGCTATTTTGTCTCATTCAAAAGTTGAGAGGGAGATTTTTACATCCGCCACTGTATAAAAATTATTTTTATCTCAGTATTAATTTAGAATTAATCTTTCAAATATATGTTGAAAAGACTGTTCGATGAACTTTTTTTTGGGGTACACAATATATTTCTGGATCTCTTCTGAAAACAAATGATACTTACTCCACGGCAGTTATGGGATAATCATCTGGAACAACAATTCTACAGTTCAAATAATATTTCACATTAAAAACTTTCAAAATCAAACTCGAGGTCTTTTGCTTCAACTTGAGCTCATCCTGGCCACTTAGTGACTTCTTTATGGCAGTGATTTCATCATAGCAACAGGAGAGGGGATTCTCTTCAATAAAATTGCGTAAAAACTTTATAGTATTGAGTACCTGAGGTTTCCCTAAATACTTTTTCAACTCTTGTTCACATACATTGGTCAAACCTTGCAACAACTTTTCTGATAGAGTTTTACTTTTGAGCTCAATAAGCAAAGGCGTTTGTGGGTAGTCTGGGGGAAACTGTATACACACAATAATTTTTTTGAACTCAGTCCGCTTTATTTCCGTTCTAACCATTGTCTGCACACAAGAGACGAGCTTGCTACCGGGCACGACATGTTCGCAAAGTTTCCTGACCTCTGAGAGCTCATCGTCTATTAATCCCATTAAATTCTTGGAATAATTAGGAACGCCCTATTCTTAAAAACCGCAGGATAAATACAAACAGCTTGATTTAAATTTATACAATGTTTTTGATAGCCAAACGTTGAATACATATAAACAACAAATAGGTTAGAATTTAGACCATTCGACCTTGACAAAGCCCAGCTTTGCTGTCGATTTCGATTGTCTTCTATGGATTGTTCTGAACTGGCATATTGCTCACGGAGCAGAGCCAAAAAAATAAGAAGAATACGATTGTTTTGTCTTCGGTCTGTGTCTTCGGTCTTATGTAGGTGATGCGAGATAATATTGAGTCAAGAGGCGTTCTCGATTGGCGTTTGGTAGCATCAGTTGTGGACATGAAAGTGACAAAGATTTGTAACGCAGTTGAGATTCTGAAAAATTGGAGACATCCTAAAGGTGAATTCATATTAGAACGATTGCGATAATATTTTTGCGGTTCCGCAAATTTGCCTCAATTGTCAAAATACCCTGTTCATGTTGAAGCGGGCAATATCTAGGGATTTCATTGTTGAATTTTAAATTTTATTACATGAACCTGAATGATGACATACGACTCATACGAATTACGACTTTTAAGACCAGACCCCATCATATCAGAATATAGGACTAACAATTTTCTCAAAAATTGTTTAATAGGAGTGTGTCCTCAAACCACTTATCTTAACGTTACTGCCTGCAGGGGCGAGGAGTTCTTTTGCAAAATGAGTTTTCTTTAATGAGGGGCCAACCAAATTCAATAATTTATTGAATAATGAGAGAGTGAGCCTAAAATAGTTGAAGTATTTCTCTAGATCACTAATTCTCATTTATTTCGGCCACAAGATTGTGATATTCTCCATATTTTCTTCTGTTTTTGAAAATATTTCCCACTATAAGGACGGGGTTTTCTCAATGAAGCTTTTTACGGTAAAGTTGATATAATTTGAACAACCTGACACATTCGTCCATTTCGGATTCAATTTCGATGTATGGGCTTAAAAAACGAGAGTCAAAGCAATATAACTACTTTGTATTTTGACGTATAACATTTTGCGGAAATCGCAAAAAAGTTCAATTTTTTCAACTTTTTTACGATAAACACGACGCCATTTCAAATCTCACTTTTTATGCGATGTTCGTTCCAACGTGAACTAGCCTTAATTCGAGTAATTATTATTGAGCTGTCAGTGTTAAGTTGACCGCTGATGATACGTCAATCGGGAACACCTAAAAATCTCGCGACGTGGCGACATTTGCAATTCTCCGCACGTGACTTTTGATCACAACTCTAAAACTTGTTTCTGTATGCTGCGTACGCTTTTCTATTTCTATGTTGTTATACATCTAGCTGCATAGAAATACCACGGTGTAAACGCTAAGATCCCTCCCTATGTTAAATATCTTGACGAAAACATTCGATGTAAGGCACTCCTAATTTTTCGTAAAATAAAGAGATATAACATATTTAAGCTTTCCATTCATAGAGGCGCTAAGTGCACACCACATACCGATGTTTACATTTGGAAACAATTCGACATGTCTATCAACATGTGTACAAATTTGGGGTGATTGGCGTTAGCTGTCAAACTGACATACAGAATATTTTTCGCTGCGATAATTTCGAAGTTTTTTCCACAAATACGACTATGTCTGGTGGATGATCAGCCATTCACCAGTAGTTACATATCTCCTATTAGTGAGTGCGTTGGTTTTAGTGCGCAAGGACCCTCCAGACTTCTGGTGAGGGCGTTCAAACTATCACTTTCACGGAACTGTTCATCGCCTACCCTTGGGATATCAAAGGGTGTGAGTTTTTCGACAGCAGTATGGAGGAAATGCTTGACAGCCTGATGGCCAGAGACAGGGGTGAAGTAATTACCCTCATGGGTTTATTGCTTGATCGCCTGGGCCTGAGTCCATCAGAACTGCTAAGGGGGAGCTCCGTGGCGGCAGTTCGGGAGCCCTATGGCCCTCTACCAGGAACCAAGGAGCTCTCGAGCGTCCGTCACGGAATGTATCCTCCAGAGATACTCCCGTCGGCACCACCCTCTGATCAGTCTGAGACAAAGAACGACGACAATACAATCAAGTCTCAAGAACCGGCCAACAAAAAGCCTAAAAAAGTGGCTAATAAAATGTCAAAGCTCCGGGACGAAGCCAAGAACAACACTTCAGAGTCAGAACTCTCAACAACAGAATCTTCCGTCGAAGGTTACCATGAAATGTTGGTTGACGACAATAGGTCTGAAAAATCGATTTTGACTACGCAGGGTGGCCCAAAACAGCCATCCCAAAATCTAAATCAGGTTGAAAACCCCAACGATCAGGGAACTAGCTCCCCTCTCCTTCCGCGTTCTGAGGTGCCCCAAAGCACCAGAAAAAAACGCCTTCCCATAATTGTCGTTCGCCAGAAGGACGAGTGGGTTCAATTCACAAAACTGGCTGCCTTTCATAAGGTGAACTTTACCAAGGCAGTAAACATGGCTGACGGCATCAAGGTTCAGCCTTCTTCGGCCGAGAACTACAGGAGAATGTCCAAACTATAGGTGAGGGAAAAAATCCCCACCACACGTATACCTTACCTGAAGACATACAAATCAGGGTCATCTTCAGAGGAATCCCGGAACATCTGGAGACCTCTGACATCGAGGACGCCTTGGTTAAAAAAGGTTTCCAACCATCATCCGTCATCAGGATGATGCGAGGAAATCGACCGCTCCCTCTGGTTTTGGTTCAAGTGAACCAAAATCAGAAGCATATTTATGACATCTGGGATCTCCTTAACGTTAAAGTTAAGGTTGAGTCCCAACACCAAAAAACACTGGTAGGGCAGTGTCACCAATGTCAGCAGTTCGGGCATAGCCAACGGAACTGCCTAGCTATTCCCATTTGCGTTAAATGCGACGGCAGACACCTCTCAGGTGAGTGCAAGAAGCCACGAGCAGATCCGCCCAAGTGCAATACTTGCAAGAGTGTGCATACTGCCAACTACCGCGGTTGTCCTGAGTTCCCCAGGGTTCGTAGGAGGACCAAAGTAGTTTCAAATGCCCCCCGAAAAGCACCCACATCTGGAAAGCATCCTGCCGGAGCATCTGGCATACGCCCGGGAATGAGCTACGCAGGAGCGGCAAAGAGCGGTAATACTTCCGCCAGGCCGACCGAGGCACCCAGTAGTCCCCGCCCGTCGTAGGTTAGTGACATCTGTTCCGCTCTGGACCAGATGAAGAAACTCTTCATTCAGTTCCCCGTAATCGAAAAGATGTTTACGGTGAACACCAACGTGCTAACTGGAACCTGTTAATGGCTAGACAACCAACATTGCCTAATTCTCTCAAGGTTGTATTTTGGAATGCCAACAGTATTTCAAACAAGAAATTAGATTTTGAGAATTTTCTAATACAACAAAACATCGATGTTGCACTGGTGCAGGAAACCCACCTGCAAAATGAAACTTTTGGTATTCCAAACTACCGTCTTTACCACAGAGAACGCGTTGGACATGCTGGAGGAGGAGTTGGCATTTTTGTCAAACGTAATCTTCCTCACGTACAATTCGGGATTGACTCGGATCAGTTACATGGCAGGAAAGCCGTGGGCGTTGAGCTCCAACTGAGAAGATCTCAGTTTACAACCCTCCGCGGAATCGTCTACTCCCAGAATCACTAGATGAACTGCTGATGTCGACAAATACCCCCACAATTGCTGCTGGTGACTTCAACGCCAAGCACAATCTGTGGAGCAGTCTCACCAATGCGAACGGCCGAGCGCTCCATGCGCATGCTGACAGCCATGAGTATCGAGATGGGTCCAGATGAGCCCACGTTATACCGTGGGGATTTAAGGCCTGACGTACTTGATATTGCATTGCTTAGGAACGTCTTCATATCCAGCGAAGTGTACACTTTATCGGAACTTGACTCAGATCATAATCCATTCATCCTGATGCTGGGTGATGATCCCCCTCCCCAGGATCATCGCATGAGATCATCCACGGATTGGGAAGCCTTCAAGGCTCACCTAGTGGAGACACGTACAGACCGTGAGGCGCTTCAAACTCGCAACGGTCTCGACGCGCCAGTGGCAGATTTCGAATTGTCTGTGAACAAAGCTTTCCGCGCAACCACAACCAGGACAGAGTGTCCTCTGCGGAGCTACAATGAGTTTCCTCCCAGGATAAAGAACCTTATCCGAGAGAGAAATCGACTCAGACGAGTTTATCAGCGGACTCTATACCCTGGAATCAAGGCTGCGGCTAGCAGAATGACCAACCAGGTGGAGGTGGAGCGAGTGTTTGGAATCGCTCGAACCTAGGGATGACGAGCTCTGGCGAGTTATCCGCAGGCTCGAGAAAAGGAAAATCGCTCCCTCCCCTCTTCACGGACAGCGCGGCATCTGCTACTCCCCCGCCGAGAAGGCGTTGGCCTTTGCAGACACAACGGAGAGTCAGTTTCGAGTTAACGTTGATCCGGATGATGATATTGACCGTGATATCCGGCTGGAACACCGGGTTCGGCGCATCCTTAGGGAAAACGATGACGACGTGATCCGTCCAGCTTCAGAAGAAGAACTGAAGGGGTACATTAGGGCCTCCAAACCCAAAAAGACCCCGGGAATTGATTCAATCAACAACAGATTGTTGAAGCAGCTCCCGGAGAACTTAATCAGATACCTGCTGGACATTATCAACAGCTCAATCACTCTCAGATACTTTCCTCGAAGATGGAAGCATTCCGTAGTTGTCACGATTCTGAAACAGGGCCAGAACCTGCTGTTTCCCCAGAATCATCGTCCGATTAGTCTGCTTTGCTCAACGGCTGAGTTGGCTGAACGTGTTGTGCTGCAAAAGCTAACAGAAGAAGTTGAAGACCGAAATGTTCTGCCTGACGAACAATTCGGCTTCAGGAGGGCACACTCCACCGAGATGCAGGTCCTGAGACTGGTCGAAAATTCCATCTCAGAGCTGAACAACAGGAAGACAGTCCATCTCGTCCTCCTGGATATTTCGAAAGCCTTCGACCGAGTCTGGCACGAAGGCCTGCTACACAAAATGTTCGATTTCGATCTGCCTCGGGGTCTGGTCCGGTCGATTAGGTCCTTTCTGAAAAGTAGAACATTTCAGGTCCGAGTTGAAGGAACCCTGTCTCCCGTCAGGGAAATCG